GGAAAAAAAACACCAAACATGAGAAACATTGGTCAATTTTAAGTATAAAATGCCTCATCCATTTCTCGTCCAAAAGTCAGTTCGAAGCGAATCGGAAGAGGAGGTCCTGTTCGATGGCCTCCGAGATCGCCTGACCTAACACCTCTGGAGCAGGGCTTAGACAGCCTTATGAGAAATTTTAGACGTTCATTTAGTTTCGGCACTATTGATAGATAGTTTATTTCAGGTCAGCGCAAGCAACCCGCTCAACGCCATATTTCAAAAAAAATAATGGCGTCTTGTATTGATTCGCATCGATTCTGCATATTTTCTCGTGTAGTGCAAGATGAAGTTAAAACCGAAAAGTTTTTTTTTTTTATTTAAGTATTTCGTTTGTTTTCGAGTGAGTTTAAAGAGCATTGTTATTGCCTGTAAGTTGTATAAGTTTTGTGTATTGTTAGTGAAGAATTGTGTAAATTTAAAGTTAAATCTTAACGTTCTATTGCTTGTTTTTATATCGCGTAGTGAATTTTTCAGGTCCGCCATAATATTTCAGTTTATTTAGCGATTATATTTAAATTTAATGAATTTTGTCATTTTTTTTCAATATATTTTTAAGTAGAAGTGTTTGTGTTTACTAATTTTATGAGAGTAGTTACTTTTTATATTATCCAATTTCTTGTAAAACTTGTACAATTTATTTTACTATCTATATCAAAATTCTATAAATTTTATAATAATGTAACAAATTGTACAAGATCTACAAGAAATTGGATAATATTAAAAGTCAGATAAAAATCGAATAAAAAAACCTATATTACTAATTTTAGTGTAGAGTTCTACATGATATCCCCTTTTACTAGGCAACACCCATTAATTTAGTACAGCTACTACTCTCAGAGTGCGCTCTACAACGTCTACGAGATTCTCACGGAGATGTCCCTTCTTGTTTATGTATGTTCTGTGCTCTGGAGTATTATCTTTGATGACACATGAACTCCTCTTACTACATCTTCGATTAAAGGCGTTTTCGACTCAAATTTCACGCTCAGCACATCCTCATTGGGATCGATCGGGCTCACCTTCTTGTCGTACAGGTCCTCGGTGGATCGAATGTAGCTGCGCTCCTTCTTCGGGGACATCTTCTTGGCGCGAAGCGGCGGCTTCGGTCGCTTCGGTTGGTCGTTGTCGAAGCTGATGTAGAAGCCCTTCTGGTTCGTTGGATCGTTGTCTAAGCTGCTGACTTCGGCGGCGGCGGCGACGGGGGGTTCCAAGAGCGGCGGCGACGGCGTCGGTTGGAACGAGTTGCGGGTGATCGAGGGTCGCGTGGGCGACGGTATCCTGTACGTTCGACTGCCTGACGTGATGTTCAATCGACTGAGGCCTGGAATAGGGTGTTAATGGTGGGTTTGATTTAGAGCGAGTTTTGGCGAGTACCTTCGTTGAGTTTGTCGGCGGTCGGATTCCCGATGAACGATATATTTTGGGGTTCCATGTCGTCGACGGAGGGAGCGGGAATGGCCGCGTGAGTGATGTTGGTTCGACGCGATGGCGGCTCCTTGGCGTCGATTTGCTGCAAACTCACCGGGGTTCGTTTGGCATCGTCGAGCAATTGCGATATTTGCCTGTAATTTAGACGCGATTTAGCGACGTATAAACGATATATTTTAATATACACTGTGTTATTTATAAGATGTGACATAGGGATTCCTGTGCAAATGTGTCAAAAGCAAGGTAACTTTTTTACCAAATAACGTTCGTAAAAAATAATGACAGATTTGAAAAGATCGTCGAAAAATAAGTCGAAATGGACATTAAATTTTATTAAATTCGTTCTGGTTTAATAAAAAAATGTATAATTAAGTTGAAAAAAAGTCATACGTCATATGTCACTATCTAATAATTGTTAAAAGGGGCGGAGATATCTGGAATGGTTTACGCTCTGAAGTTTGAAAAATTCAGCGGTAAGGAAGCTGGTTCAATCCCACGCAGTGCTGAAATTTTTTTTCTTTTTTATTTGGGTTTTTTCGTTTTTTAATGTTTTTTTTTGTCAAGAATAAAAATATGGTATCATTTTAAAGGCTCTACCTACTAACGAGATTTTGCGTTATTAAAATTGACACTTAATTGTCGGAGCTTTTATTTAAATAAAAATAAAATTATATCTCAAATAAGCTCGTCTTATTTTAAATATTTCTATTTAACATTTTTTAGACAAAAATATTAGAAAAAAACCAAAAAAAAAGAAAAAAATGTCTTTACTGCGCGGGGATTGAACCACATTACTTCCCGCTAAAATTTTTAAATTTCAGAGCGTAAAAATCCCGGCTAACTCCGCAAATTTTACAATTATTAGATAGTGACATAAAAATGACACATTTATGACGTTTGACTTTTAAACTTAATTATACATTTTTTTTATTAAACCAGAACGAATTTAATAAAATTTAATATCCATTTCGACTTATTTTTTGACGATCTTTTCAAATCTGTCAATATTTTTTACGAACGTTATTTGGTAAAAAAGTTAGCTCGCTTTTGACACATTTGTACAGGAATCCCTATGTCGCATCTTATAAATAACCCAGTGTATAAACGGATGATATTTGCCTGTGAATGGTCCGATGTTGCGGCGAAGCCGACGGGGTGCTGTTCGAGGTGCCGTAGTTGCTCGAATGGTGGTTGTGTTGGTGGTGTTGTTGGCTGAGGGTGAAGCTGTTGGAATGGAGCGGCGCGTGATCGTCGCCGTTTTGGTGTTTCGCGTCGAAGAAGCGCGGGCTATCGCTGTAACGCGTGTTATCCTGATACCTGTGATCCTGATACCTGCACCGAACCGTTAGTACAATGAATGTCGGCGTTATTAGATGATCGAAATAGACCTATTCAGTTTAACCTGTGCTGCGCGCGCATACTGTGGATAATTAACTTGACATCTAAACGAACAAACGAACGCACCTCAGGTACAATACGGTTCTGACAACTAGACAACGACAACTTAAGACATACTTCAGACGTCATTTGTCATTATCCAATAATCTGTAGGATTTAATTTGTAATGGACTCGATGACTCGATACAAATTTGTTTTTACCGCCCAGAAAGGGGATTAGGCTTAATATTTACATACAGGTCAAGTCTAATAAAGAGTAAGAGGGTTAGTACAAAGTTTCCGAAAATGCTTTTTGATCGGTTTGCTATAATATATATTTCAAAGAAATAATCCCATTGGCCTATATAAAAAATTATAACCTTTATAAATAAATATACTAAATAATACAAAGAAATACTGTTAAAAAATAATACACACTGAACATAAACAAACATCAAACGGAAACATGAAACAATATAGGGTTAAGATTGAAGATGGTCTCTTCTTTTTTATATTTAAAACAGTTTTCATCCAAGAATCATTCAATGGGTCTGTCAATCAGCAATGAAATAGGCCAAATATCACATCTCTCTTGCACTTATGTTTGCGCAGATTTTAAATGGTTCCACAGATTGCGCGTGAAACATATTTGCTTCTTTTATTCTCTTATGTTGATCTAATAACTCCATCACTCTCTTTCGTAAACTGAATAGGTCTATTGTGAGAAATATCGCAACGAACCTGTCGGTGTCGTGTAGAACGAATCCTCCGCCGCCTCCGCCGGCTATTCTCGCCGATTCGGTGGCGTTGTTGGGTTTGTTCCAGTTCCTCAATTCGGGTTGGTGGTAGGGCTCGATCGGTACGGGGGGCGGTTGAGGTTGTTGGGCCCACGTCCTGCGTTGCGGGGCGGCTGGAGGCGGTTGTTCGTACAAGTAGAATTGTCCCTGAGATTGTCCTCGAGGTTGCCCGTACATCGATTGAGGCACGTGCGGTGCACTGGCCGACGTTTGTAGTGGAGATGCGAACACTAAAAAAATTAAAAAATAATTTGTTTGGTCAAAAAATGCTCTACAATGTGAAAAAATTGGACAAATAATGGGTGAAGAATGTGTGAAAATTGGACAAAAAGGGTAAAGAATGCGTGAGAATCGGACAAAAAATGTTCAAAAAATTTGGAAAAATTGGTCAAAAAATGCACTACAATGTGAAAAAAATTGAACAAAAAATTGGTAAAGAATGTGTGAAACGTGGATAAAAATGCGTTAAAAATTAGACAAATATGGGGTAAAGAATGCGTGGGAATCGGACAAAAAAAGTTCAAAAAATGGTCTACAATGTGAAAAAATTTGACAAAAAATGGGTAAAGAATGTGTGAAAATTGGACAAAAATGGAGTAAAGAATGCGTGAGAATCGGACAAAAAATGATCAAAAAAATTGGAAAAATTGGTCAAACAATGCTCTACAATGTGAAAAAATTAAACAAAAAATTGGTAAAGAATGTGTGAAAATTGGACAAAAATGCGTTAAAAATTAGACAAAAATGGGCTAAAGAATGCGTGAGAATCGGACAAAAAAATGTTCAAAAAATTTGGAAAAATTGGTCAAAAAATGCTCTACAATGTGAAAAAATTGAACAAAAAATTGGTAAAAAATGTGTGAAAATTGGACAAAAATGCGTTAAAAATTAGACAAAAATGGGGTAAAGAATGCGTGAAAATCGGACAAAAAATGTTCAAAAAATTTGGAAAAATTGGTCAAAAAATGCTCTATAGTACAATGTGAAAAAATTGAACAAAAAATTGGTAAATGTGTGAAAATTGGACAAAAATGCGTTAAAAATTAGACAAAAATGGGGTAAAGAATGCGTGAAAATCGGACAAAAAATGTTCAAAAAATTTGGAAAAATTGGTCAAAAAATGCTCTATAGTACAATGTGAAAAAATTGAACAAAAAATTGGTAAAGAATGTGTAAAAATTGGACAAAAATGCGTTAAAAATTAGACAAAAATGGGGTAAAGAATGCGTGAGAATCGGACAAAAAATGTTCAAAAAATTTGGAAAAATTGGTCAAAAAATGCTCTACAATGTAAAAAAATTGAACAAAAAATTGGTAAAGAATTTGTAAAAATTGGACAAAAATGCGTTAAAAATGGACAAAAATGTAACCAAAATTGGGTAAAAAGTGCGTTAAAAATTGGACAAAAATTGAGTAAAAAATATGTGAAAATGGGACAAAAAATGCTCTAAAAATGTACACATTTATTGTTGTATGGGTAGTACCTTGCGGTTCCTGGTAGATTTGCTGTTGATAAGATTGCTGCGAGTTATACTGAGGTATATGTTGTTGGGACTGCATACTCTGGTACTGTTGGTGTTGTTGTTGCAAGGCTTGGATTTGCCTTTGTTGTTGAGCAATTAGGTTCTGTTGTTGGAGGTGGTTTTGTTGCGATGCTAATCTCTGCATGTCCGATTGGATGTCGTGTAGACTAGAATTCATTCTAAAATGTAATAGACGTTTACAAGCGATTGTGATGTTTGATGTGGCGAGAGACTTACTGAGCAATGGATTGCTGATAACTTTCCAAATCCATGTTTTCCAAATCGGGTGTTCTGGTTTCTACTAGAGTGTGGTCTTCGTCCGACCATTTCCTGTCCATTTTGATAACATCATCGTTGATTTCCTGTTAAAAACAATAACTGTAGATTATCGAATTTTACGAGTTACAACACCTAATAATTAGTAATGTGTTACCCAAAAAGCGGCGTTGATTAAAAATTGTAAAACAGAAGCACGTTATGTATATTTAAATACAACTAAATCATGCAAAACGAACACGAAACAAGCCAAAAATTACGAAATAAAATCAAAAGAAAAAATACCTGTAAGGTTAACGGCCTCTGGGGTTTTGGTGAGGGAGTTGTGGATTCGGAAGAAGGACTTTGTGTTTCTGAACCCTCTGCCGAGTTTTTAGGCTCGGCTTCGGACGATTTAAGTAATTTACCTCTACCCTGAAAGTTAGTTACATTAAATCACCTTCACCCGTGCACTCTCCATCATCGACAAGTGAATTAAAAATGTGCAAACGGAGCTTAAGAAGTGCAACAATAACTAAAGAATCTTTAAGGCGTAAAATATCTTGCACTTTTTAAGCAATAAGTAACTGGTAAAGTTAGTAAAATATTCAGACTTTGTATCGAAAATCTAACTAATTTTAAAAGGTAGGGTTCTTGAAAAACATGCATAAACTGTATTCCTAACTACTGGTAAAAATATTAACAATCCCGTTTAGAAACCGCAACAAACAATACCTTCCTCTCGATCGCGTTTATGTGCTAAAAAATCTCAAGAAAATCGGGTATTATTTGTCGACGAACAATATAACAAACCACGTAACTTTCAGGCATGAAAAATCGAAAAATAACCAAATTAAAACGACGCGCTCTTACCAATTCAGTTAGCTAAAAAAGACATTCGCATTACCAGACGTTCTAAATAGCACCGTTGAAATGGCTAGCACAATAGGCCATAAAAACAATGCTGAACCATTAAAACGTTATGAAGAAAATACCACATAATAATGTTCGTGTGATAGTTAAAAAGGAGCCGTCTCAATAAGAATTATGTTAAAAAAATTTCTTCCAGTAAATTCGCATATCTACTACTGTTGCATCTTTCAATATCAAATCCCCGATATTTATATACAATACACCAACCGAATAATTTACAATACTAAATACACCAACCGACATACAAATATTGTTGGTGCAAAACAAATATCAATGCATGGAATCTACGTCAATTCATCGCGAGACAATTGATCGCGTGACAATTCGTCGCCGACAATTCATCGCTACAACAATTCATCGCAACAATTTTTTTTCTTATTTTAGCAGAAAATCTTATACAAGTTTATTCATTGATAATATCACCCATTGAAAGGATTATAACCTTCATAAACTTGAGAAAAGCCGTGTCATTTTGAAAATCAAACACTTTTCAATAAAGTTCTTATTTAGAATTCAATATTACCTATCTTATAAACGCATTATTTCTACCCCACTTTTACATTATTTTGACTAATTACAGGCTGTGTTTAATAGATATGTAATAGCTCGACCAATAGCAATAAGTAATCTACAGGAAATATGAAAAAAGAACCAATCAGCTGATTCATTAATTCTCGATATAGGGATTACAGAATCAACAAGAGCAAAAACCTCTCTGTTAATATTTTCCGGGAATGGAATTAAATATCTAAATATGAACTTTATTGAAATCGGAGGAATTCGGTGAATTTTATATTCAAAATTACTTAATTTTTCTGAAGGTTATGAACGTTATAATTCTTTTAAGGGGCGATATTATCAATAAATAATAAACTTTAATAAATAATAAACTGTTATTAAGATTTTCTGCTAAAATAAGAAAAAAACGTCGCGATGAATTGTCGTGGCGATGAATTGTCGAGCGATAAATTGTCGCGCGATGAATTGTCTCGCGATGTATTGACGTGACACCAATGCATGTTGTGACCAACTTTTAATTTTGATTCTGTAAACTCTATAACAAGTTCGGCAACACCGCCTACTTGTGACGTAGCAAACCATAGGTCATTGACAAATTTCTTTTGCACCAACTGTATCCAATCGCCGCCACTTCAGCCAACTTACTTTGGCAACGGATTGCAGGAAAGCCGCCTTCCCGACCTTCTGTCGCTGTTTGCTCATCGCCGCCTCCATGCGACGTTTCTCGCTCTCGATGTGCCGCCGTTTCTCCTCCAACTTCAACCGGATATCGTTCAATTGCGCCGCCATCACGTTCGGCGTCGACTCCTCGCCCCCGTTCGACTCCGCCTGCTGGTTCTGCGTGCTCTGCTGTTGCCACGTCGTCGTCTGCGGCAACGTCGCGAACGTCGTCTTCTTCTCGTTACCTAAATCGCACACATAATAAAATATAATAGCCATAAACCAGGTTATCGTAAGCTGGCCGGATGCGGCATAACGCAAGAGGCCATCTAACAGAAAGAAGAAGAAGCTTAGATCATAAACACATTGCTTCAATTCAGACCGCGGCATGGTCATCTCCATGGGTTGAACAAAGAAAGATACTAAAATGACAGTTATCAGAGTGAAAAGTTGCAATGACACAAATGTGACTCTTTCTTTTTCCTTTATAAGTGTCTAATGGAAGTTGTCTTTATCGCACCCATAGCCTATATTGCACTCAATCAAAAATGGACCAACCTGTATACTAACGTGGATAAGTCGACAGCGGTAAACTCTATTGCCAACATATTCACGACGTACTTTTATAACCCATCCTTGTTTGACACTCGCTAGTTTCTAACGGTGTGTCTTTGTCTTGGAGCCTTTGACAATTTTGTACGTAAATAGTTAGCGCCAAATTTAAATATTCATGTTTCAAAACGATTTTAAGATGCTTGTTGTTTACCTCAGTGTTATGTATAAACCGCAAACACTAAACATAAACCAAGCCAATAATCAAAAATCCAAATATAATAATAATACGACGCCATGACAGTTATGAAGCAGATGTCAAATGTCATAGTGTCAATGCCAGTGCGAGAAAAGGACGCATCAACATTGCCAAATGTCTAATAGCTATTTCTTATTTCTACTTTTCTTTTACTACAAATAAGTAATCGAGCAGCTGTTTTGTACAATAATTAGTTAATTAAAATGTATACGCATTTAAATAGTATTACTGCATTTCAAAACAATTATTTTAGATAATAAATAAAAATATTTTTATCGTACATCGTTCATATTAAAAAAAGTAAAAAATTACAACAAATGTGTAAACCTGGCAACAAAGGGGAGTTTCCTAATGTATCTGTTGTATACTAATAAATACGTTCAGATTTTTAAAGCGCATGCTCAATTGGCAGACCAAAACAAAGATAAATCTATGGTGAATTCCATAGAGCAAAAAAAGAGAGTACAATTTAGGCATGTTGTAGATGTTGGCAACAGGAACGTAAATGTAATTCTTAAGGCATTGATGCATCCACGTTAGCATACATGATCTAAGAGAAGAACAAACCAGGTTATATACCAGTAGTAGTTCATTTGTACACTTCTACTGTAAGCAACTACACCTACTGCAAGTTTTATTGTGCCACTTCGCGTACCCTTACCGATGGAATTTCCGAATTTCCCGACATGGCTCTTCTGCGGACACTCCTCCTTGTCGTTCATGTAGACCAATTGGATGCCGCGTTGCTCTTTGTGCTTGCCCAAATCGGCGAAGCTCATGCGCTTCGTCACCTCGCCGTCGACGAGGTCCCTGATGATGTTCTCCTTGTTAGAGCGCGCGCCCAAGGCGATGTCGTCGCTGCTCAGCTGCCGCTTCAGCTTGTACTTCTCGGTGCCGTTGTCCTGCTTCTCGTCGCAGCCGTTCTCGTAGCCCAATCGCAGGGTGCTGCGCGCGTCCTGGTAGGTCGAACGGACCGGCGCGTTTTCCACGGCGACCGGGAACGAGGGCGCCGATACCTTGCGACCCACGTGCACGGCGACCTGGAGACAATTCGTGGAATGTTATCGTCAAAAAGAAGCACAAAAAATGAAGGAATTGCTTCAAGGTGTATGCGAAAAATGAAGAGAACGAAGAGAGGACCCTGCTGTTGCTTTAAAGCACAAGGTTTTATGGTTTTAAAATCTTTGTATAAGGTTTTAGAACCGTTTTCTCTTACTTTTTTTTGCCTCTACCTTTTACTTCAAAGTAAATGCTTCATTTCTATCAATATGGACTATTTGTAATAAACTTATCGAGGTGTTGGTATACACTGTTGGAAAATTATTCGCGCATAATAGGGAAATCAATGTTAAATTCTTAGCCGGCTGAAATCCAATCTACCAGTGTACATTTCAATAGAACGTTGCGATCAATTCTAATAAATTTAATTGTTCTACTGGACCGCACGCCGCGATTTGTAGAGGTACAAAGTTATTTGTGTTAGGTATGAGGTACAAAATTATTTAGAAACTACATTTAATAGGTTTTTTGGGGATATTTCAAAAAATGTGTGTATCGGTAGGTACAGTTTTGAAACAGCAACAAATTTTGTTGAAATAAGGGAAAAAATAATTCAATTTTCTGCTAGAATTATACCTCAGCTCAGTAATATGGGATGACATCTGTATGACAGGTTTGGCTATAGTTTAGCAGAAAGCGGTAGACTATTTTTTAGAGTTCTTTTATTTTCTGTTTTAAAATAATCTTTAAGTTTATTTTTGGAGTTTCCTTTTTATTATTTTCTTAGAATTTACTTTCTTTTTAAAGAAATTGTGGCAAAAAGACATATCTACATAATTCTATTTGAATATTAGTGATATTTTTTCAATAAATTATCGTTTAAAAATTGTCATTTCTTTTTAATCGACTCGACGTTCACCCATCCTAACCCGTTTTGATACTGTCGAAGTGTCGAAACCGTCGAAATTATTTGATTTTTAATCTAACCAAACCAAAGCGCGGTGTGAAGTCCAGTAGAACAATTAAATTTATTAGAATTCATCGCGACGTTCTATTGAAATGTACACTGGTAGACTGGATTTTAGCCGGCTAAGAACTTAACATTGACTTCCCTATTATGCGCGAATAATTTTCCATAACAGTGTATACCTCCTTGTCGGGATTCCTTCCGATGAAATTCAAATTATCCTGGCTACCGCCGAAGTTCTCAATGGTCAACTGGGAATCCTCCGTGGTGGAATTTCGCCTACTCCTTCGACCAGCGTAGGTGCTCCTTCTGTTCTCCTCCCAATTGCTGGGCCTGCCGGCGGCCATTTCGCCTCGTTCGTCCGCCTTGCTGTCGTTGTTCTGTTTCTCTTTGTTCACCTGAAACTCACCGAATTATTACCCAATAAATGAGATTTATCGTTGTAATTACCCTAAGGCGTGCAGGTATCAACGGTTCGTCCTGCACGGATCTGAGCGTCGGTACGTTTTTGCCGCGATGTACGACGAAGGATTCCTCGGAGGACCTGCGTAGACTGTCCTCGGTCATGTCGGTGACGACGCTCTGTTGGCTCTGTTGCAGCGAATTGGATTTTCTGAGCGGAAAATGCGCGGGCGTCGATCGAGGTACTAGAAGGAATTCGGAAACGAATGAGCTATGGAAACCGTTGCCGGTTTTTCCCCCACACGAACACATGGAACACGAAAAGCAACCAACGCGACAGGCGATCGAATGGATTTGTCTGTTGATGCGATAGACGATTCGTGCTAAGCGATACGCCCTCTGGTGGATAATGTAAGAACCGAGCTAAGAGCCATTGCGCGGCTATTGTCATTGTTGTTGTTTATAACAAAACATACTAGTTCAGTTGTGTTTTTTAAGTTTTTGTGTTTGTTGGAGATTTTTAAAATGAACCAGTATTGCTGCGTTCCCCAGTGTTCATCCTTGATCAAGCGAAATCCTAATTTAAGTTTTCATCTTTTCCCGAAAGCAGGAAAATCGAAGGTTTTTGTGAAAACTATAAGCCTGGATTCACTTGGAACTAATTGATAGAAGATTGTTGTGGATATGAACATTAAAAATCGGAAAAACTGTATCCAATACGATGAAAGTGTGCTCATTACATTTTCTCGAAAGTGTTTTTTAACAGAAAGGTAAGTGTATTATGATTCAAATCCATTTTATTCCATTTTTCTCGTTTTAGTTAAAGTAAAACGTAGAAAATTCAAATCATTAGCTGTGCAGTCCCAAAATCTGCCACAAGGGTTAAGTGATACATCCCCAGGACCATATTCAGAGAAGAAAACGAGAAAAGAGCCCAACAAAAGTGGGTCTAACCTGTGAACCAATGGATATAAATATTGAGGATCAACAGAAGGCAATTTATTAATTAAGATAGATTTTGAGAACCAAGAAGCAGCAGAAGCATTACTGAATGTATATGAATTATTTAATTTTTATTAAAAGCTTTGTTTCTAAAAATAAAAAGTATTTTTTAAATGGGGTTATGGTTCCTACAATTTATTTTGTCGCTAACCTGACACTATCAACTATCTACAAAAGACTAATAATAAGTCCTTAATAACCGAAATGTGCTATAAAAATACAAATTTTACTCAAAAAATATCTAAAAAAGGCCGATTTTATTATACACAACATATGTAAACAACGGTATAATGGTACTTAGCTAGCTTTCAGCTGTCACCACCATGGCGCTGCGATCTTAACCTGAGTCGTCTATTGAACTACCCATTTGTGCAATGGAATCTAACGTGCTGATGTTGATGTTCCGAGCGAAAACTTATCGACTGACCCTCGTAGCTCGGTTCGAATTTTATACAAACCCTTATAATAGAACGACCTTGAGCGATGGAATGATCGATACGTTAAAAAAAATGTTTAATGATACATCCGAGATGTTTTATTTAGGTTCATCTAGTCCGAATAGAAGAAAATTGTTGTGAACAAGGAATAGACGTGAAAGATTTAGAGAATAAAAAAGTAGAGTAAGAATAGGGAAACATTCGATAGAAGTATTGGTATTTTTCAACACTAATTTTGCGATAAATGATTGCATTATCGGACGTCCAAAAGGTCAAGTTTGCGAAGGGCTTTCAATCGAACGCGTCTACTCAAATTTCTTCTTTCTATTAATGCGATAAATCGCAAGAATTCCGCGATAAAAAAAATGCAGAATTCAAATTCGTCGACCGTTACGCAAAAACGATTTTGTGAATTTCAAACATGCTGTTAAATATGTCGACTGACAGAAAAAAAATAGTATAGTTAAAGAAATACTAATCTACAAAGTGACGGTTATCGTGCAAATTGCGAAACTAAATCTAACAAGCTTGCCAGTTCCTCGATAAATACGGATAAAACGAGGATATTAGGATCAGTGTAGAATATTGCACTTACAGTGCGACAATAATAGCTAGAAACGTATCACGCGCGAACATAATCACGCCTCTCCAGCTATACCTGTCGGTCTGTACATGAATTGTACATGAAAATGTAATAGATTCATCCACACTTTACCACAGTCCTCAGGTGAGTTAAAAATCGGTTAGTGCATGCACATAATACGTTATTAGTATTGAAATAAAAAAATCTACTGTGTCGTTGTTATCGACTAAAAAAAAATAAATAAACATAATCCGGATCGGTTGATCTCGAGATGAAGGAACTTGTAGATATTATTATTACCTTGGAAGGCGGTAGGATCGTCGATGCCTGCGCGCAGATCCGGTATGGGTGCCATCACGGTCTGCAGCAGATTGCGCTTATGCACCACACCGTGGGCATTCGTATGGGGCAGACCCTCTGCGGCCACATCGGTTGGTTTAAAAGGAATTTCATCATATTTGTACATATCACATTCGAGCGTATTGTTGGCATTTTTTTCAGTAAATTTGCCACTATCACTTAGGTCTCGTTACCATTTGTATGTTTGTTAGTTAGGCATACACTGTGTTATTTATAAGATGTGACATAGGGATTCCTGTACAAATGTGTCAAAAGCGAGATAATTTTTTTACCAAATAACGTTCGTAAAAAATAATGACAGATTTGAAAAGATCGTCAAAACATAAGTCGAAATTGACATTAAATTTTATTAAATTCGTTCTGGTTTAATAAAAAAATGTATAATTAAGTTGAAAAAAGTCATACGTCATATGTCACTATCTAATAATTGTTAAAAGGGGCGGAGATATCTGGAATGGTTTACGCTCTGAAGTTTGAAAAAATTAGCGGTAAGGAATCTAGTTCAATCTCACGCAGTGCTAAAAATTTTTTTCTTTGACATTTTTTGTTTTTTCAATGTTTTTTTGTAAAGAATAAAAATATTTTGCGTTATTAAAATTGACACTTAATTGTCGGAGCTTTTATTTAAATAAAAATAAAATTATATCTCAAATAAGCTCGTCTTATTTTAAACATTTCTATTTAACATTTTTTAGACAAAAATATTAGAAAAAAACCAAAAAAAAAGACAAAATTGTCTTTACTGCGCGGGGATTGAACCACATTACTTCCCGCTAAATTTTTTAAATTTCAGAGCGTAAACCATCCCGGCTAACTCCGCCAATTTTACATTTATTAGATAGTAACAAAAAAATGACACATTTATGACGTTTGACTTTTTTCAACTAAGTGTCAATTTTAATAACGCAAAATCTCGTTATTAGGTAGAGCCTTTAAAATGATGCCATATTTTTATTCTTGACAAAAAAAACATTAAAAAAACAAAAAGTGCCAAAGAAAAAAAGAAAAAAAATTTCAGCACTGCGTGGGATTGAACCAAATTCCAGATATCTCCTCCCCTTTTAACAATTATTAGATAGTGACATATGACGTATGACTTTTTTCAACTTAATTATACATTTTTTTTATTAAACCAGAACGAATTTTATCAAATTTAATGTCCATTTCGACTTATTTTTGACGATATTTTCAAATCTGTCATTATTTTTTACGAACGTTATTTGATAAAAAAATTATCTCGCTTTTGACCCATTTGTACAGGAATCCCTATGTCGCATCTTATAAATAACACAGTGTATAAAATTGGGCCGTATTCAGCGCCCCTCAACACCTATTTAGAGCCTCTTTAACCTCATAGTTACTCGCTGAAATAGAAGCGCTGAATGCGGACCAATAAATTATATTAATATGTTTAAACTCCTAAGTATAGTTACAAGTTTCAAGAGGTGTCAATTTTGTAATGTTCGTGCCATCTAACGTAAAATCTCTTACCAATATAATACCACCACCACATATCGTTCAATTTTAATTCGACCGGCCACCAAACTAGCAACAGAAAACTAACAAGCTCGTCGAAAGAAAGCCAAACAAAAAATATAAAGAAAAAAACAAACCGAGTTTAAGGGAGGAAAGGAAAAACGCGAGAAGGGCCGCAGTCGCGCGTCGTAGCCGCACTGATGGGAACCTCCGCGAAAAGCGAATCTGTTTACAATGTGGGTTAACTTAAAATTCACCGGACAACGTCGGTCAACTAAGAAAATTCAATAATGATTCAAAGTAATGTGCCGGCAAAGGTCAGTCCAGGTTGACGCGGATCGATAGTCCTTATCGCATTTGGGTTATCGGAATAAAAATATTACATCTTCGGCACGTCATAAGCGACCGCAGGGCGATTCGCTAATTCGCAAACGGTCGAGAGAGGGTTGAACGACACCGGGAGAAAATCCGAAGGAAATGCGAACATGCGAACGGGTAATTTTCATTTTTAAATTCTATACTGTACCTACTCGTTTTAATTTGTTTATCCAAACGTAATTTATTCTATTTATAACGCATCGATAGAAGGTTTGAAATTGTGTGTACAGTAAAGAATAAAAGAGAATTCGAGAAGAATAAAAATAAGAAAAAAAAGTATAGGTAAGTACAGAAAATTGTAAAAATTTAAATAATCCTCGAAATAAAAAATAAATAATCAAATTCCATAATTATATACAAATTACAGTTCTTCTTTCACGTAGAAAACGTATTAAAAAATTCGAAAAAAAATTAATCGAGCACAAAATAAAAGCCATCGCAAATTATAAAAAAACAAGCTTTAAACAAAAATTAAATCGAAGCTCGTAATTCGAACACATTTAATTCAAATTTACTTCAAATATTACTTACCACTGGTAAATTTATCCATGCCCGGATACCGAACGCAATTGGCGGGGTTAATTTCCATAATGTTAAATAGATCGGCCAGGAAAACTAATAGATTCTGTTTCATCGATCTAAAAAAAAATACCAAATAGCTGCATTATACAGAACGTCTCAAAGAAAGTTAACAATCAATTATTCCATCAATTAAAGGACATTCGCGCTCGCTAGGCAATGACGTCATTTTTAGACGACGTCATTAATTTCCACGCAGTTCAACATTTCCCTAGTGTCAATGTTAATTCTCCCATTTGACTAGGGGAATTTAACGACGCGTAGTTGAAAGTAGAAGGCGATGTTGTCATGCATTAGTTTCAACATTCGCAATATTTAGCGGCACTTTGTAGTTGACACTTTGACAGGTTATGACAACAATTTGTTGTTTTTACGCGATTTTCCTGTATTTTTTCAAGTTTACGAGTAGGTTTTGTGTTTTTCGTTCGTTCTAGATAGTTTTTCGTGCGGTTTATGTACATTTATCGACAGTTTCTCCCGCGATTTTTGGTGTTTTTCAACCTATTTTGAGACGAAACGGGCGATGTAGGCCCTTTTTTCCCGATTAGTTCCCGATCAATATTTTCGATAGTTCAGCACATTGAAATTTATAGGTTATGTTAAACTTACGAACATATACCTATTAACTAATATACTGCTAACTCCCTATCCATTCCATGAGAGAAAATCGTAGCGATTAAAGAGAGAGATCCGACCCTCTATGGTGTGCTTAGTCATTTATACGCAAGCGCGTTAATTTTAAAAGGACCAATAGCGAGTAGCTGAGGCCTAAAAAGAAAAGAAGGAAAATAATACTTGAAATCGTGTTTAAATTTGGTAACCTGCCATATTTACACAGGCAAGTCGAAGTCGATTTTAAAAATATATCAAAAAATATACCAAAATAAAAGCTAGCACGTTTCTGACGTTTCATTTGCTGTGTCAAAAGTAGCCAATCAAGAAATCTTTCACTTGAGCATGCGCATAAATAAGCAAGCACACCACAGTATAATGTTTGCTACGGTTTTAGACCAATATTAGCGGTATAGTAGATAATAGGTATATGCTTACGAATAGTTTTTTAAATGTATATTTCTGTTTTATAGGGTTGTAAAGCGTTGCAAATAAACACCTCTCCCGTCAATCGGATTGCAGCCTAATGCATTTCTTCCTTTTAATTTCTAAGCAATGAAAGTAAACATAACCTTAAATTAAATATATCTGTCACATCAAGATTTTCATTTCAACCAGGCAACGTTGCAACATGTCGGCTTGTGACGTCATTGCCTAGCGAGCGCGAATGTCCTTTAATAGGTAAAAAAAATATTACTCACTCTCGCATGTAGGTAACATCTTCGGGCATCAAATGGAAAATGGAAGCCGGCAAACATCGAAGACAAAAATCCTCGAGCAGCTTGATATTGTAAATGCTATCCTGCACGGATGGAACGCGGGATATTCGAATTTCAGTCCACGACAACTCGTCCGGGCAGTAATAGGAAATCAACGCGGCCAAACCCACACCGTCGCACAAGTCTTTCAGTTCTCTCTGTTCGGGAAAATCGGGCGCCTTCAACCTGTCGCCCTGCAATAATCGACGCCCCGAAACGATACAATTCATCGCCTCCTAAATTGACAAAAAGGTACTTACGCCGCCGCCGTTCGTAACGCCGCCGCCGCCGCCGCCGCCGCCGATTTCCTGCTCTATCCTCACGCGCAAAGCGTCGCAGGCGTGGTTCACCCACACCAGTAACTGCTCTGCAATGGTACCGGATAGTTCCGGACCGGCCGTTCGGCCGTGATCGAACCGCTGAACTGCCGAGAGTATCCTCTCGGCGGTCACCACTTCGCGGGTATACAGCAGCATTATCATTTCGATGACGGCCATGTGGGCGCTCTGTTATCAACGAAAAATTAGTGAAAAAATGTGTTTTGGGGGTGATGATGGATGTACTAACCATGCGAAGGGGGTTGGTTTGTATTAGAGTGGTTTCGGTGAGTTGGCCGTCTTCGGTGCTGTGCACCCCTTTTCTCGCTAACGTTTGCAAAATGGCCGTGTGGTTGAGGTTGTGGTAATTAGGATCGGAGTAGACGTTGCCGAGGGCCAAGCAGTAGATTTCTGCGTTCGCCAGGCCCCCGGCTATCTGAGGTTTCAGATGTTCTTGGTTCTGCAAAAAGAAAATCGCACGGTTCGATGTTAAAATTGATGTTCGAGGAGTAAATGCTGCTTTATCATAGACTTATTAACTATGGACACGGTTTAGACAAAGAGGTAGTGTTGTCGATGAATGAGAGAGATGCAGCTAGTTTGGGCATATGGCAATGAGAGATTGGACAATGCATTAGCCAATAGTAAGAAAGCAAAAGACCACGTGAGTTATGTTTTCAGAAATGCAAGGTAGCTGGGGTAGAGGAGGGTAGCTTATGGTAGAATAGGGTTGAGGAGTGCAGCGGAGGGTATTGTGATTTATTATTTTTTTGCCGAGCAAAATGCATTTTTCAGCTGAGCCTAAATTCCCACGCATTTGCAAATACAGTTCTTATTTTGTATTGTTAATTGGAACATCCTACCTATTATCCAGTACAGATTTCGCAATTTAAGACCTAACTGCTTTCTCTTGTAAAAAATATGTTTCTTCCAGGTCATTCTTCTGTCCAAGTGGATACCAAGATAAAAACAATATTTAAATATTAAGCGTATAAATAATTTAACAGATTAATAGCCTTTTTTTACGCACCCTGTATATATTTTATATATTTTTTGGTCCCGCCTACTTTTAGCCCAAACTAGCTCCATCTCTCACGGACCTCTCTCTCTATCTTTGGGAACGCCGAATAACCTCAAAATAACGATAGTGCCGCGTCCATACTTAATAGGTCTATGTGCTTGATCCATGATGCTCGTAAGCCAGTAATGATGGCTCATTCGTAAGCGTCTCTATGTTTTAAAATATTAAATAGAAACTTACCTCGTGGTCGCGATAAAATGGATCCTTCAAATTTTCCGGTATTTTGTTGTTGAAGGCTTTCGAAAGGAGCCATTTTACTGACGCCTTCTGTTTGGCCTGAAACAATTAACCGAACATTTACCGAACAATACCATTTCGTACGAATAAAAATTCGTTGTGTATAAGAGTTTATTCGCAAGCGATTTTTATTCGCCCAGAACTCGAACAATGTTTGAAGAATCTATCGATTTTACAGTACGGAATGTGCTTTATCTCGTTCGAACCGAGCCTTCTGAAGATGATATAATATGTAATAGAAAACAAGTTTGGTTGGGCGTGAAAGTTAAACAAGCCGACTGCGTACAGATATTTTCATATAACTTCCACATTTCTCTTACACTAATATAGTTTTTTTATACATTGTAATTTGTAATATCACCTTTGTTTTTATTCCATTTGCGTCCGACTACTTACCGATAACCTCCGAATTGATTTACAACAACGATTTTTCTATCGTTCTTTTAGAAAATCACCGGCAAGAATGAATAATTGCTACCGAATATGGACGGTTTACGCGATACAACGAACTCCTAACGCAATTTGTATGTCGAAGAAAACAACATTCGAACTCGCTCCCATGAATTCTAATTTAATAGCGATACGTTCAACCGGCGGTCGTTTATGAATTTATCGCGTACTGTACCCGTAAATGGGATTATTTCTATCGAGGAATTTTTAAGTATTTTTACAAGACCGGTCCTGCATCGCGATTTCAATCGAGGAAAGGAAAGCGAATCCTGCAAAAATCTCAGAGATTTACGCTTTATTGGCGCACGTGTACATAAAGGCGATATTGGAATTTACGTTTGAAGAATAATTAGGAAAGTTAAGGTGTGTAATTAAAAATAATCTAATGAGTATGTTTAAGCATATCATTACGCATTCGGGAAAAGAAAGCACCTGCCCAGAAATAACCTTTAAAAAAACCGAATAAATTTATTAATAAACCCGCATGAATATTTTCGTTTAGCAAGTGTCTAATATCTGTTTTATTTTTTTATTTGCAGGTATCCCACATAATGACCTTCTAGTCGACATTGCTGCGAATTATAAAATCGCGCTGTAGGAGTCGAAATTACAATAAATTAAAAAATTTTAAATAACAATTCCCCCGAGACGAAGAACTCCATGGGAAAGGAACGTCGAACGATTTTCTTTCAATGGGATAATTATACGAGACTCGTTGTTTTAGTTAAGACACAATTGCAGATAATTAAAATTGCAAAAATTAGGTACGATTTATTAGTTATCGCAATGGAATCAAATCGAACGCCCACCTGGTTAAATGCATTATATTGTAACGCGTGGGATTCGATAATAAAACGAAATAGCTGTAACCTGCAATAAACACTAAACCATTTGCATGGATAATCAATAAATAAAGTCGAGGATTTCGTAAACTGCAATATAAGATTGAAGAAGATTTTTTATTAATTCAGGAAACCTAAATACATGCTAATTAGTATTCGCCAGGTTGCAGAGCATGCAAGAATTTATTAATTCCGAAAAAAAAACACACAAAGAACCGTGTTAATTCGATTCGAACTCTAATCTCTCTAATCCGTAAAGAACCCGACGTTAATGAACAAAGTTTAATTAAAATTGAGGAAACTTTGTATTCCAATCTATTAAGCTTCCACTAAATGCATCCTTATAAAAATACCCACCCGGTATATGTGCTTTAGAGTTTATTGCTTTAATGTTTGTAAGCACCAGATGATTTGAAAATGCTATAAACAAGAGATAAACTAATGTACTGACAAACAAGCGCTGCTTCCTTATCTTCCAGCTAGAAGATGCTCTTGAATTTTATAGTGTTTCAAACTAATTTGAATTTTCTTAGGACAAAATAGTTATTTTATATCTCACGTGTTACACCGTTTCTTTATACCAAATACTAATTGCTATGCAATTTTTCGTATTATTTACATAATGAAAGTTTATTAAAATATTTCAAACAAGAAAATATAACCGTATACATGCTAGTAACGTAATTAAGCGAAATAATTAAATCTATATATAGAAAATTTAAATTACTTTAATTGACATTGAGCTTCTATTGAATTCAATTAATTGCGAAACCGGCCAAATGATTCGATCTATTGTTCTGACTCCTATAATTCCAATAATTTTTAGGTCAACTAATAACGGTACCAATTTTCGAAAAGATCTCGTCCCTCTCCTGATATTCGCTTTGCATAAGTTTATTTATTGATTCTAGGTATGTGAAATAACAAGTCTAAAAATATACTCGGTGCAAACGTATTCGTGCTTCCTGTACTAAAGCCAAGAATTTAGAAAAATAATTAGCTATTATGTCAATTCTAAACAAATTTTAGTTGCCTAATTAATATCAGAAATATATGGTAGTTACATAAATTCTCATCAGAAGTATTGTTTTGTTAGAAAAACAAAAATTAACAAAAGTCATTGATGTATAATAAGTCCGATTGTGCTGAAATAATAAATTTTAGTTTCACTCAATGTTATCACGCTAATTAACAAGTAACTCGTGAGAAATTAGAGATTTATTAAAAATAATGTGTTAAGAGGTTTCAAACAATTTAGGTTAGTATAAACTGTTTTATAATCGGTGAAACAAATTATAATAATTAATATCACCTCAGATGCCACCAATTTTGAATCATTTTATGCTTACGTTAGTTTAAAGTTTGTTTTGTTCTCGAAATATAACAAACATCTATTACATAAAAATTTATGTTTGTATTTTTAAATCGTACGACTGGTAATCAGTCAATCTACCGTGTTACAGAGAAAAGATAAGATATGGAAGACTCAAAATATCGACAGATAATAATAATTACATCGAATGAAGCAAGAATAAGAGACATAAATCAATCAAATAGATTAGTCCTAAATTCGAACCCACATCGAACGAAAAACATCGAAAATAAAATAGCTTCGCTACCAGCAGAAATTCAAGAGAATCAATTTGCGCAACATAAGCCCCGAGAGCACTCCTGAACGTTGAGTTTTATAAGATTTCTTGCTGCAAAACCTACGGAGGCGCGATTAAATTACACCTATGGAATAAGGTGTTTAGTGTCACAACACATGCAACGCTAGTTTTGGAATTTGTCCGATTTCCAAAAGGAACGCTCGTAGGCGAACTCGAACATATGGTTATATGTATACAATATAACCGCTTTAACATTGTCTATCGATTTCTTATTAACATCAAAAGGCGACAGCTCAATAATATTTGGCTTATCGATTAATTCCTACGGACACCAATTAGGAGTGGATTAATCGCCGAATAATATACTGTTAATATTACATAATGTACATACATTTAAAGTAGTTTAAAATTTAGTCGAGTATATTTCTGGATACTTTATAGAGCAAAAATTCAGTAGCGAAAAGATACAGTAAAATAAACAATAATCACTGAAGCAGAGAGCAATAAGATAATGAACTTAGCTCCCGGTAAATTTACTTCCTTTTATTTTCGCTATTCTGTAGCTTTGTCCATCAAGACCAGTTCGTTGGACATTAAATGGATGATTGGATTGTGTGAAGTAACCGTAACTTCACTTTAAAACGAACCGCAATCTTTTTAATAAAAATAATCACGAAATCCCAATTTCGGGAACTTCTAATTCATCACACCCTGTAGGAATAAACGCGCGTAGTGATTACTTTCACTCCGGGCACATGTGTTTCCTACAATTCGATCATTTATTTTCGTTAACTGTATACAATACACCGTTTTTATGTTGTATATACCATTGCACGTCTTATTACGCTCTGCGCACGTTTCCTCAACGAGCCGGTAGGAATGTTTACAAAACAGTTATAAATAAAATCATAACGAAAGGCCCAAAGGTTCTAAAAATCGATAAACAATGGAAAAATGAAAATAAAGTAATCATTTACTCGGCAACTCGAATCATCTCGTCAAGCTCAGTCGACCAAGTGGAAAAAAATATTTGAGTAGGTATACCGACTTTTCTGGTGATTCAGAATGTTGAAATTAAAGGGATATAATTTTATGAATCGTATCGACAAGGTTACGATGCTAAGTGTTGAAATAAATTCTTTATATTGTCGCCGAAAAACCGATTTTAATCCGGATGTGTACTGTTAAATTTATCACTTTTACCACACAGAATTTACCAATAAAACTTCCTACAGAATACAAATCAAGCGATAAATACGTTTCCTTCGCTTGTCACATGCTTTAAATTAAATTCAAACAGTTACATTTTTGTTCAAATTAAATATAAAGAACACTGTAGAATCTGTACATTTTCGATTAGGACTTGTATGGATCACTTCGTATTACCTCAAATAGGCAAAAAAAAGATCGAATTTTTCTTTAGAAACTTCTACTTCTAACGAAGCTCATTAACGCTACCGTTATTTATTATCTCCAGCAACCCACAGCACCGGATATCTACTTTATTTCCATTAACATCTCGCGACCGGCTCACCTTTTCCTACAACAACATCAATCCAAAAAGGCAATTCAATTATCCCGCTACCCTTACGTCGCGATGGGTTTTCTTCCAGCGCTATTCCCGTCTTTTTTGGCACGAGATGGACGCAAATAGACCGAGGCGTCTGGAAAAACCGAGCGGTTTATATTCGCTTCGCCCTCAAAAATATTTTCTGCATACAGGTTTCCTCGTTTTTCGCTCGGGAATTCGTCTAAATTTAAATCGCGCAATTCGCAATTGAACTGGTCGTTTTTGTCCGTTCGAATGCGCGGATAATTTCTACCGGCAAAATAAACTAATCGACGACAAAATCGAAAATTTCTTTCGTGCATATTATCGTCGAGTGTTAGCGCTTTTTAGGTGTGAAGCATGGCTATTAATTATAATTAAAGTGCTTTCTATAATATATCTAAATGGTCTAAGCAAATCGGTTTACAACGAAATTATGAACAATAAAAATTAGCATCAATTTTTGCAAAAATCTACCCTTAGGAAATCCATAATGAGATTGGAAAACGTGACTAAAGCACACCTTCTTCATCGTTTTATTTTTTTCGAACAAAACTACTGCAGGGCAATAATTATCTCAAAAGTATGCGAGAGATGTAAGAGGATAAGAAAATTCTAATTAGATGGAATATTAATTTATATTTTAATTTAATCCGTATATACATTTGTTTGTAAGTAGATAGTATGATATTACTTGGAAGATCTTATCGCTTAAATTGAACCGGCAATGTTCATAAAAGCGTAATACCTTAAGGCCCAATTTAATATCCACTATTTATTTGAACTTTCTTTTAAATAAATAACATATTTAAACATAAGTACAAACAAATAAAATCGACGAATATCAACAAATTTCTCTTTACCTATTGACTAGTAAATTATTTATACCGTTGACAAAATTATTATCCTGTTGTCGTTAAAAAAAAATATTGTGCACTATTCGCCAATAAGCAAGTATAATAAAAAATAACCAAGTATTAATTTCTATACAGGATCGCAATTACTCCTTTGGAGAAAGTACCGATTACGTTAATTAACGAGACCCACCTATTTCCTCGTATAAAAATTAATTTGTTCAATCGAACATTGATTTATACTCCTCGGTGCAAGAGGTATTCGAAAGAAAATTTTTTCGGACTGAAAGAATCTCAGTAATTTTAAGTACCGCTAGAGAGTAAATTCACAACGCGCTGTGATCGATAATACGTAACCAGAAAATTACTGTTACATTCGCCCAATTATCTTCCACAACTCGAGTCCTGTATACTATTCATTTCAACTCCTGGAGTAGAATAAAAAAACACCTAACGTATCTACATAGTTAAATAAGTAGTTTCCAATCAACGAAAGCATATAAGAAATGAATCAGATTTCACTTTAATTTTATTCATTTAGTACAAATATACGCCTAATTAGGAATTATTTTTTATATGAGAAACGTTTCTTGTTAGCACAAACTACTTTTTATCGAGTCATTTCTATTTTAATGGCAGTTTCTTGCAGTACATTAACACATATTTCCGTTTAATTAGTTTTTTTGTACATTATATTTTAATTAATATACATTAAATTTGTAATTGTCAATGTCAAATTCAACGAATCCATCTGGTGGTAAAAATACGAGATGAATATATTCGACAATTTAATGAATTTAACGAACCTTGAAATATTGATAATATTACAGGACATTACAACAGAATGACATAACCACGTAACATTAATTCTTTTCTACATGTGTGTAGGCTTGCCCTGGTCTGGTCGCTAATTTAACGATGTATAAATAATATTTACCCACCATTAACTCGTACTTAAAACGCGCACGTTTTATGAGCACATCGTTGCAGTTTCAAACGTTTATGAAAGATTGTAAAAGAGCCCATCTTGTGTAAAATTTATTTGCTTCTTAAACGTTTCGAAATTGGAAGAGTTAAATCATTATTTGTATCCGATCACCTACCGTAAAATGGTTATTGTTAAAACTGAATATATTTTAAATTATAAAATTTTAATCGTTTCCCGTTGAACGGAAAGTTGTGTTAACTAACTGGGTTACCGACACTAATTGTGGACCGGTTAAAATGTAGGAAACACAAACGAGGAACTTTCGCTTAGGAACCCATCACCTGGACCTCTTTCGCTATGCATTCGCGAATAACAATATGATTTATGATCGTCTATCGATATATCTGAAGGCGCCATAAACATCGCTGGGTGATTTTTCGTGTTCGTAAAAATTTTATCATTTTGCAAAAGTGAAAGGTGTACGGAACCATTTCGACATATAGGCACAGAAATAATATCAACACCGGAACCGCGCGAACCCCGACACCGTATGATTATTGTATGAAATTTCAGAAAGTGTCCTGAATCAAAATGCGGGTTCTTTCATATCGACAAAGAACGCTTTCTTATCTGGCACATTTTCAGTACGAAAAAAAATACCAAGTCATTTCGTAACAACGTTGCCGAATGTAATATTTACTACAATGTACATATAGTGTATTTTGGATCCAAAACACAAACAAATGTAAAACCAAAACCGAGGTCTCATAAATGCTAAGCTTATAACCAAAACATAACATAAATCTCGATAACACTATTATCTTAATTTTTATTAGGCAATTAGGATCTTAATCACAATACATCAATATTCAATAATGGTGATATTAATAACGAATTAGCCCAATTCCGGAAGCGATAAACGAAAAATTCGATTATTATAATTACGATAAAAATACATTTGTCGAAACTATATTTTTGCGGTTTCGGTTTCGCATTTTCGAAGAAGGAAATCAAGATTAGTTACAAATGACATCACCCTAATCTTAATCTTAAACTATTCTTTATTAATAATCCGATAAATCCAATCGAATTGCCATCCAATTTAGAATGTTTAATTTACAATTTTTGCAAAGAAAAAAGTAGCTCATCTTCAGGTCTATATTGCATGTTCGACGCACCGAACATACCAAATGCACCGTTTTTGGAGCAGAAAACAATAAATTAAATAATGGCTAAGTTAATCCTTTGATAGTCTACTTAACATACTGTTAATCACACCGATAATTGTCTTCGCATTTAACAATCTCGAACCAATCGTTAACATTAACATGCGTTTCGCAAATTACATTTACATTAATCAATAATTAGGCGAACAGAAAAATTGTATATTTTGAAAACAATATTATTTCATAACGTAAACATTCGATGCTATGCACAATCTAATTAACGTGGGCTTAATCCGAAGGTGTTAATTCTATTCGAAGGTTAAAAAAAATCGCCTTACTGTGTATGTGACACGAGAAATCCCGACTCCTATAACGTTTTGATCGTTTTTGAAAAAACCGTATCCGTTCAAGGCACTAACCGAAGCTACAGTCAACACCATGGCACAATTTTTTCGAAAGGAAAAACTTCACTGAAAAAAGTCCCCGATCGAATTATTCTCACTACATTTCCTGCACAGGAGAAGAAAATTATCTCTTGTAAAAATCCGAATCTCGCAGTCTAGCTGGATGATATCTAGATTAAAGTAGAAGAACTACGAACCACGACCACTCAGAGAAGGGGGGAACCAGCTTAAGTAACGCGCTGTTGCCTATTCGTTGCCAATTTACCTAGTCTGGGTATTTTTTAACTGTTTTTAACGAAACGTTTAACTTGCTAATTAATTTAAAACGTTCGGAATCTTTGAAAAACCCGTTTTAGACTGTGTAATTTAACGATGAATGTTGTTTGACATGCACACAGCTTTTAAATTATGTTTATGATCTGCGATCGCGTGCTCTTTGCTGTACAAAAACGGTTTATTTCGAGACAAAAATACCTACGATATTGGAAAATTCGATTTAATAGTTCGAGGATAAATATACAGAAACTGTTTGGGAGTTTTAATTAAATGAGGTAATTTGAAAACCCGATGTTGAGAATTGGCAACTGCGAAATTGAACCGTTTGATATTATAAAAATCCCATTCAAAGATTATGTGATATTTGCCTTATTAACTGAATTCCATCACGCAATGAACTGCTGTAATTCAGAAGAAATTGTCGCAAAAACTGAAAACTTTCAATCGTAAAACAATTCCTATAAATAGGCATAAAACAATTTAATCAAATTAACGGAAAAGGGTGCGTCCATCACGAACGCAAAGTAAGAAAAAAACATGCAATAAAATGCGAATTTTCACCAATAAAACATCATTAAATTCCTCAAATAGAAAAATATATTCCATCCACAACATTGCAGACAACTAGATTAGAATAAGCAGAATTATCTTATCTAATTTACATACATCTTTCTCTAGTTCTAACTTCCATATTCACACACATAATGTGAATTAAATTCGATACTTATTGCACTAAGGTAAGCGTTATTATTGTTATTAAACAGAAATCAATAACAATCTATTGTTAAAAACAAAAACACACGTCTCGTTTGCTAGTATAACAACAAACATTATCAATAAGAATTAAAAAATTAACGTAAATTTAATATGATTAGCCGGTTAATTATCGCACGAATTATTCTGAATCATTCTCACTTATCAATCTTCTAATAATTCGACAATAATTTCTGTTCAATGAGTAACACCTTTTATTTATAATGCAACGGGGAAATTGAAGATAAAATTTTTGGGATGCATGAACTTCTACAAAGAGGTCTATTATTTGTGATATAAATAGAGATTATGTCAAAGGACAATTTACTCTTCGAGAGCGCGAGTGTAGGCGTAAATAAAATAAAAAAAATAATACGGCTTATTAACCTCACATTCGAGGTTTATAATTTTCATTTACGAGCTTATGGGGAGTTAGTTGGGTGCAATTTTTTGCTTTTACATTCGAGTAATTGATGGAATTTGTTCGATGCAGAAACGCAACAATTAATACCATAATTGCCGAACACCATCTGCACAACTATCGCTGCAAATTGACCTATATTAAATTTACTATTCAATTTTCCATCTGAACATTCCGTTTGGCTACCAATAAAACATTTTATAGTCGGTTTTTGAGACCGAAGCTGCGGAAAAAAGGCCCATACACGAGCACTTTCAACCGTTGATCTAGCGAAAGCTCTATTTGTACACACGCAAATACGAATAACAAACCATTTATAACGAATTAATACGGCGAAATTCGCTGCTATATCTTCTGTTAAACGAAACGAGTGGTTTTTAAGGATAAAACTCACCAGCCTTGTAGTGAATGTATCATCCATGTCGGTTTTTCTTCTCTCTCCGCGATCCATTCCGTTTGGTACGTTATCGCCACTTTGCACGTTGCTAATACTAGAGTTTTTCGTGAAAATCTTCGATATTGCACTCCACATTTACGTTTATTCTACACGCAAAAACTCTTTTACCCTCGGACAATATCATCGTCCAACCTACGCAAGTAACGTAACTTGTAGCTTCAGTAGCCGACGAAATCGTGCAGTTCTTAAATTAAACGAATAAATAACGACTTACGAACGACTAGAATCACTTGTGAAGCATTTTGCGGGTTTACTTTTTAGTAAATTTCGTTAAATTCGTGAAAATAACCACTTTACTCGTCATGATAAATGAAAACTACTCGAATCGATGACAGCGCCAATGTGGAATGTCACCGAACTTTTGACAAATCGAAGTCGACATCAGCGCCCTTTCGTAAGAACTTTCATTGGCGGTTAATTCGAATTACATACACTTACGAATTATTTTTTTAATAAGTCATCAAAATTATCATCTTGTACTCACCAGATTATCAATATCCGCGTTTGATTTAGAAAATTAGATAATGTACAATTAATTAAATAATAATTAGGAGCTAACAGTGATTTGGTACGATAAAGATTTATGTTGGATATTCTGATATTACTGTCAATGTCAAAGTTGTCAAAATTGTCAAAATAAAGATATCTGTCAAGTATGTAAATGTAAATAAAACAAATGTCTTCAACGAACGAAATATTGGATGCAACGGGCAGTAGCGACTCATTAGACCCTAATAATTTACAAAAACAACTTGAAATAGCAAGAAGAGAAATAAATAATTTACGGTAAGTGCAAATATTCCGTATAATACTGTAAATAACCTGCTACTTCTAGGCAACAGCTTACTGCTCTGAATCATGTGCATCGCAAAGAACTCGATTTTATCAATAAAAAGCTCTCCGACTGGCAATGCACGACTTGTAAAACGAATCAAGCGACCGCTTTGGAATCCCCAACACCGACACCATCCGATTTTTCCGTGAATTACATCGGAAAAATCAATACAAACTTTCCAGAAAAGCGAGGCACTCCGAGGCAGCCCGGCATTTGCAAGGATTCGACCGCTAAATTGCTGTTAAATAACGTTTTCACGAATCCAGCGCACGCCTTGCAAGGCCTACAGGACTTCTCTCACATGTGGATATTATTCCATTTCCATAAAAACGATTCCAATCACTCCAAAGCCAAAATCGCCCCGCCGAGACTAAATGGGGCCAGGACCGGCGTATTTGCAACCAGGTCTCCGCACAGACCTGCCCCAATAGGACTTTCGTTAGTTAAAATTGATAGAATTATGGATAATACGATTTATTTTAGGTAATTACAATACTTACCATTAATTAATAATTTAACATTAAATTTTTGCAGTGGAGTTGATATGATTAACGATACACCTGTAATAGATATTAAACCGTACATCCCTCAATACGACAACCCAGTGTACCTAAATACAAACGATCTAAGTACTCCCAGTACTTCAAGAACAGTCGATAGAATCCCAACTGTACATCATACTATTAGTACCGATAACACTCAAATACTTTACAACGAACGGACGTTAGAAGGTGAAGAAAACGAGAGAAGAGACGAAGTATTAGGAGCTGCTGTGGCAAATACAGACCCATCCAGAAACGAAGTTTATTCAGCTAGGTAATACTTTAAACTTAAACAGTAGAGTTTAATGTTACGCTATAAATTAATTGAATAGGTCGAGTTCGAGAATGGGAGAGAGGGAAGCGCCGGACGGTGAAGAGGAAGAACCTCCCAGGAACCCTCAGGCTTCCGCCATCGATGAACCTGCGGTTACTCCCGATGGGCACATTAGAGTTCCAACGTGGATCGATCAGCCGCCTAGATTAACGGTAGTTTTCAAAGACAAGGCTTTGGCCCAATTAAATCAATTAGGAGCAGAGGTGATTAATTTGTTGTTGGATTTAATAAATGGTGTTTAATGTACGAATCGTAGGGAGAAGAAAAGAAAACTACCATCGTAAACGTTTTGAGGGAGGACCCGAGGTCGGTTTATTTGAGAGAAAGGTGGGGCAGTCACTGCTACGTGTTTAGGATAGCGGAATTGCACGTGTCTTGTAAGTTCAATGATAATTCTCATTTGGTAACGGTTTATCAGATATTCCAAAGCGACGTCCCACAAGGAGAAGAAGAGTGATTTCTTTCTTCTTTTAAACATTTTTATGAGTGCAATCTAGATGCCAACATTTAATGTTAAAATAAAGTGTGCTCGTTATAGAGAAAAATAAGTAAATGTACACCTATTTTACCCAATTTTTCCTGCAGAAAATATTAATGATTCACATATCCTGTTCAAACTGTGTGGATCTCTGTGAAGTAGAAATTTAGGTAATGTAAGGACCAAAATAAAATAATTTAGATTTTAGAGGAAGCTAACTTGTCCCTGTCCTTTTTCAAATAAATATATAAACTAAATAAAAAACCCGACTGCATTTTATTCAAATGTATTTACAATAAATATGAGTCTTATATACATGAATACAATTTAGTTAAAAAAATAATAATAAAAATAAATTCAAGTTTACTATTTTTCCCGTGTTACTTTATATGGTTTTTCCGTTGAAATAAAACTTAAAAGTACGTCCGAAGACAAATTGGAATGTTAGAATATATTCACCTAAAGCTACAGTAACAGTTTTATTGTTATATCATCGAATAAACATTTCAATAAAGTGTAAAGCTAAAGAGAAGATTCCGAAACTGCAATTATATAAAATTAAACGAGTTTCCGACTTTAGTTATATTTATTTATTTACAATAGGTTCAATAAATAGAATTCTTAATTTTTTTGTTAACAACAACTAGATTTTCCATACGTACTTCCTGACATTAAAAATGTCTGGAAAATAATTTCAAGGCAAGATTGCATTGTTCTAATCGAATACTTTATGTCATATCAGTCACTGTCTACTTATAAATAAAAACTATAATTTTACGACTAATTGCTTCATTGTGATAACAAAAACTGGTTTAATTAGATTATAGTTTTGAACAATTATGAACATTTATCTTTGTAAAATAAATTGATGTTTTAAACTGATATACAATATGTTAACTTCCATCCCTTTTACGAATATAAGGAATTTCGTTAGATTGAATTTGCCCACTATAATAAAATTAATTTTCGTTGCCCTGCTTCAAAACCAACAAACTAGGCATTGTAAATAAATAATGGATAGGAGAGTTAACTTGTTGTATTTCAGTTAGGAAATTACTGCAAAGAAACCATTACTTCAACAGGTTTTTAATGAAGCAAGCAGCTTAAGAAATTGTGTGAGCAAAATTATGTGTTGTTTTCCTGTAATATATTTAGAAAAAAAATATGTTGAGAGGCATTAAAGATTTTATCAACAATTTCCAAACGAGATTCCGATTATATCAAATTTTATATTAAGTACAATTAGCTTTTATTACCAATGTAAATCGTTAATGCCGCCTACTCATATTTCTGGAAATAATTTCTTCAGTGTATATCACGGGTCGACAAAGTATAACATCCTTACGTTTTAACCACAACTTGAGATTCAGTAAAAGTTGAAAGATATATAAAAATATTCCCTTTAAAACTACGAGACATTCACAAGAAGAGATAAAATACGATAGGCCTTTTTTACGTTTATATGTATAAGTGTTTCTTAAAAAACAAAATTGCAAATATACACCGACAATTTAATTTTAATATTCTCGCTTTTATTGCTATGTGAATATCCATTCGCGCTTTTATTACTGCCTGATTGTTCGAACATTTAACATTTTCGTATATTCAATGAATTTTTTATTCGGCTTATTGACCGGAAATAACGGCCAATATTTCCGCTTTAAACGCTTATGTATTATTTGCAAATTTGTATAGGGAATCCTACTAATATCTATAACAATTATTAACAACGGTATATAAATTACGGTGAATGAAAAGAAAGGATAGATCGTTTAAATTAAGTAATTTTTTTATACTTTTAGCTATATTTATAAAATATCTTCGTCAAAGAGTAAAATAATTAAAATTGTTAAAAATTTTGAGTAAATGTGGGTGTGTAAATTTCGATGAATATTTTTACTACAGTTTATCCTAGAGAAAATATTCGAAACAGCCCCACTACTCGGCCGAATATCAAGTGCACAAAAAAAAAACAAACGGAAATAGAAAGTACAATACATTAATGGAGATAAAATATCACAAATATATCACATGCACACCAACGAATCTATCGCTTTCTTTTCGCTCCCCAATTACGGTTAATCAGTAAACTGTAAAACATCTCTAATTTCTAATGTAAGATTCGAAATAATATTACTAGCGTTATTTGTATTGTCACAAGATTTGAGTATATCAAAGAATACTGTTTTCGAACGAAATTTCGAGGAAGACGAAAAATGCAAGTCGATCGTTACGCGGAAAATGGAAAAAGAGATACACTCCGATACATATCTACTTGATTTCGAAAAATTCGATAAAAAAATCACCTATTACAACCTAATTCTAAATAAATACTAAATAAATAATAAAAAAAGAAGTTATACAGCACATCCGAGCAAATGCATCTTGTTTTGCATGATTTGAATCGAGCAACAGTATAACACTAAACTGTTCCTTTCGTCAGGCTTAATTAATTATAATATAGCAGGAAAAAATTGCAATTTACCATTCTCTATACATTCATAAACAGTACTGTACATTAGAGTACATTAGAGTCCAACAGTACATTAGAGTCCAAGATCCAATCGCTCGGCCAATCAAAAAAAAAAAATAAGTAACCTCGATTAATCAAATAAAAATACAATAGAAAAAGAAACCATCCTAAACCTTCGTGTGAATAAGCGAACAGATAAAGTGCCGCGTCCTGCCGGAGAGTCGTCAGAAATATATCACCTCCTCGTCGGCGGGCGGCTGTTGCTCGTTCCTCACCTTGAACTTGTCCGGCAGCTTCGGGTAGGTGTGCGTGCGCGTCGCCTTCGCCCCGCCGCCGCCGCCGCCCGGGCTCTGGCACTGGCTCGGCGGCGCCGAATTCGGCGGCGAGTTCTGCATCATCGCCGGACTGGACCCCGTCCGGCTGTGCGAGTGCGCGTGCGCTTGCGGCCCGATCGTCGGCGTCTACAATCATACACGTATATGGGCGATCGGCGACGGAAATTATAAATAAAAATGCTTTTCTGGGACATACAGAGGTACATACACAGTTGGAAATTTAATTTCGCATAATAGGGAAATCAATGTTAAATTCTTAGCCGGCTGAAATCCACTCTACCAGTATACATTTCAATAGAACGTCGCGATAAATTCTAATAAATTTAATTGTTCTACTGGACCGCACGCCGCGATTTGTAGAGGTACAGAGTTATTTGTGTTAGGTATGAGGTACAAAATTGTTTAGAAACTACATTTAATAGTTTTTTTGGGGATATTTCAAAAAAATATGTGTATCGGTAGGTACAGTTTTTGAAAGAACAACAAATCTTGTTGAAATAAGGAAAAAAATAATTCAATTTTCTGCAAGAATTTCATCTCAGCTCAGTAATACAAGATTGATATCTGTATGACAGGTTTGGCTATAGTTTAGCAGAAAGTGGTGGACTATTATTTAGAGTTCTTTTATTTTCTGTTTTAAAATAATCTTTAAGTTTATTTTTGGAGTTTCCTTTTTATTATTTTCTTAGAATTTACTTTCTTTTTCAAGCCATTGTGGCAAAAAGACATATCTACATAATTCTATTTTAATATTAGTGATATTTTTTCAATAAATTATCGTTTAAAAAATCTCATTTCTTTTTAATCGACTCGACGTTCGCTCATCCGAACCCGTTTTGATACTGTAGAAGTGTCGATCGAAACCGTTGAAATTATTTGATTTTTAATCTAACCGAACCAAATCGCGGTGTGAAGTCCAGTAGAACAATTAAATTTATTAGAATTTATCGCGACGTTCTATTGAAATGTACACTGGTAGACTGGATTTCAGCAGGCTAAGAATTTAACATTGATTTCCCTATTATGAGCGAATAATTTTCCAACGGTGTAGAGCTAAATTCGTTTTTGTAAATCGAAATTAATAGAAAAATTTTTGACAGATTTGTAAAAATAAATTATTTGACGTTTGACGTTGACTGTTCGTTTGGTTTAAACGGAACTACACCGAAGTGAGAGATTTTTTCCGTTATTTAGACAATTTCGTCGCTTTTAATGGACGAGAATAGAAGAAATTGCAATAATTCGCAAAATTATACGTTTCTTGGTCATTTATACTTACCAAAAATGAAGAAACGATCAAATTATTTAGAAAAAAACATACACTAATGACAGCGGCAATGAACAAACTTCGAACTGTCAAAGTTGTCATTTCCGGATACGTTGACATTTAATTTGATGTACAGGGTGTTTTTTCATTAAGAAAATCAGAAAAATTGATAAACAGGGTTGTTTTTTGTTATCTTAAATGAAAAATTATGTGTATATCAAAGAAGCTCGCAAGGATAACGATAGTATATACGTACGGTGTCTCCGGACGGCGGGCTGAAGCTGTTGTCGGAGCCCAATCGCTGGTAGCCCGACGTGCTGGTCCGGCGCACCTTCTCGTCCTGACTCAGCTTCAACGGCAGCATCTGCTGCACGCCGCCGCCGGCGCCCGCTTTCGCCGCGTCGCCGGTCAATTTGGACACCAGCTTCAGCGGTATCTGCTGTCTGATGTGCACGTTCTGCGACACCTTCTGCTCGTTGGTGGCCGATATCAGGTTGAGCGGCAGCTGTTGCTTCACCTGCGAGCCGCCCTTGCCCCATTTGGAGTCTTTCCTGCGATCGACGGACGAGGCGGAGTGCGCCAAGCCGGTGCCGGAGGCGCTCGAGCTCATCGCCGACGATGAGTCCGATTGCGGGCTGCTGTCCTCCGACGTGTCCTTGCTGCTGTCTTCGGCCATGATGGGCACGTTGCCCAGCAGGCCCTTGTTGGTGAGCATCTCCATTTTCCTGAACAGCTGCTCCCGCTGCTGGGCGATGTCCTCTTGCTCGGCTCGAATTTGTTCCTAGCGAAATATAATAGGCATGAAAGTCCGAAAAATTAACAGTTAGTATATGTATGTAGATCGCAAACGAGCTGCATTTGCATAATTCTAGTTGCAGAACGCGAATAAATGCTGAATCTAAATAACAACAATGTGGATAATTTATTCACGACAGTCCGGTAATAATTAAAAAGTTGAGGAATAAAAAAAAAGAACCGTACTAATTAAAATGTAATTCTCGATCGGCCGCTCCTAATAAGAAGGTAAGCACAAGGCCGATTGAACTCAACCACCTGCATATAGACACAATCGGAATAGCTCGATGAATGTTATTCAATTAAACGATTTTAGCTATACGATTTACCTGCAATCTGAGTAGCTCGGTTTTCTTCTCATCCAACTCTTTGGTCTCCTGCTCCTTGAGAGCGTTCCACGCCGCCTTTTCGCCGCTCAATTTATCCTGCAGATTCCTCAGCTCCTCCAATTGCTGGTTGTGCCGGTACTGCTTCGAATCCGCGCCGCCTCTCAGCGTCATTATCTGAGCTTGCAGGCTGAAATTCCCAGATCAGAACCTATTTACAAACCAGCTCGACACTGTCAAATAAAAGCTTCTAGAAAGCTAATAGAAAGGTGTCACGAAGCTTCTTACAAACCAGCTGAAAATTGTAATGTAGAAGCTACTGGTGGTTCAATTCGATTAAAAGTTGTAGTGAAGCTTCCGTGGTGAATTATATTGATGTTTTAAGAGCCATTTTTTTAAAGTATAAAAGTGTTTAAAATGGAAAATTGAAGTTGCGATAAGAAACTGTTACGAATCTTTCGTAATATATCATTAAGTTATAAGAGAAAATATAAATATGTAGAAATTTACTATAAAAAAGATAAATTTGCCTACGCATTTTAATATCCTAACGAATTTCTCTTTCACTATTAATCGTTATGTAAAAATCACCGATGTAATCGCGGATAAATTTCAATCATTACCTTCCATCGAAGTACCCCGAGAATTTATTTTTCCGAAACATATCACACCACCGATAAATCACATTAATCAAACGAACAAACGAGAATATAATAATTAAAAAAAACCGCCGGACGCGCTGCTCGCTAGACGTTCAATAAGCGCGTCGACTTCGACCGGAATCGAACCGGAGAAAGTAAAATCATCAATTTTCACCGATAAAATCGCGACCGTCCGCAAGTAAATACACATGCACGGCGCGAAAGGTAACTCACCTTTCGTTGGTGGTCATCAGCTGAGATATGATGCACAGCAACGTGTACACGTAGTGCGACAATTGTATTGCCGCGTATTGCTGTTCTCTTCCCAGTGAAAGCAACGCCGGGCCGTCGGGGGCGCCGCCGAGCTGCTGCTGCTGTTGCTGCTGTTGATTCGAAGATTCGCTATTTACATTTAGTATATTACCATTAGTCAAAGGCCCTGCTGTTATCACACAATTTCTATAAGGCAACCGTTCCTGGAACCACACAGAAAATAAAAACAACGTGCAGGTGTTATCGCTGAGTTTGGAATTGGAACAATAGAGAGATTCTCGAAATGTAAATACTAGGAAAATTTGCTATAAAAATTCTCATCGTTGAGATTAGTAGGCGCATTTTATTTAATCGTCTCTTCGGAATTGCTACTTCTTTGCTTGTTTTGATAAATCAATACTGGAAGATGCAAGGAAGTAATTTTTCTCTACTTCTAAATTAAATTATACAGAAAAAAGAGTGATATTATAGAATTGCAACTCAATCATTTTGATAATCTCTCTTCATTTAACTCACACAGAGTCTACATAAAAGATTGATTCCCACTTGACCAAATTCGAAATGAACGTAGTAAATTTGTTATGTTTATGTTGGTACCCAGAAAATAAGTTACTAGAATACTGTCATTAATGTCATGTCAACGTCAACTCGATCATAAGCGGCACGGAGCGTAAGCATCATTCTGCTTTTAATCTCGCTAGAAATAACGTGTTTTGTTTATTTTTCCTAGTTTTTCCTGTGATTTTCCTGAAGAAAACTGTGTATCAACATAACCTTAAATTAATGAAAGGTAAAAGTAATGAACAACATAACGTAATGGATTAATGTTCTTACGCCACTGTGTTGATTTGTATTCAAAATGGCGACATTTCTTAAAAACAATAACAACAGTGCACTTTGTGCACTTTGTGCACTTATATTTTTAAGGTCTGGCATCTCCCTATGCTTATGCATTAGAGAATGTGTCCCGTTATTTGAAAAAAAAAAAGTAAAAAAGGACTTTTTAAGCTTCACTTTTTCGCCGCACCGTGGCGAACGATCGGAGGACCAACTTATCTCAGCCAATCAGCGTCGTGCTACATATAAATCGCGGTTGTGAGACGACAGTTCAAGCTGTCAAAACTTCAAAAATTATTTTTTGACATTTCGAGGAGAAAATGGAGAAATACATTAACCGAAGATACGTGAGGCATTATGTTTAAGAATCTATTTTTAGTTTGAATAAAGGCTATCTTAATGCTAATTCTACATAATTCGTACGCAAAAACCCGGGGTCCTTAACAACATCGCCTCCTAGCGGCCGTTTTCGGAACCCTGTTTTATCCTCAAATAACGGGACACTTTTTCGACCCATGATTCCAGACCTTAGAAATATAGGACCGTCCGTGGGAATCAATCATTTATGAAGACTGTAGAATCGAGCATACAGGGTGTTTCACAACTTATCCGACAAATTTTAACCACATATGCACTGTTACGAGAGAAATTAATTTCCCAAAAAAAAAATGTAATAAATGTCTTACAGAAATCGAGATAATAAAATTACTTATACAAGATGTTCAAAATTGTTCCCATTTACTGCAATGCAAGCTTGGGTGCTTGTTTTTTGTTTTAACCATTGTTTTGGTGCAACATTTGCAACATTTGCAACATTTGCTACTGCTCCTACGAAATCAACTTCTCTCTCTCTTTGAGAAATCTCAAAAAAAATGTAATAAAAGTCCTACAGAAATAAAATTATAAACCCGAGTTTCACAAAAAAATTGAAAAATAAATACTGCATTTTGCGTTCATAATTTTGCCTTAATACTTTACTGTAGCAAATGTTGCACCAAAACAATGGTTAAAACAAAAAAAAACAAGCACATAAGCTTGCATTGCAGTAAATGGGAACAATTTTGAATACCTTGTAGAAGTAATTGAACTGCTAAACTATTATTTTATTATCTCGATTTCTGTAAGACTTTTATTACATTTTTTTTGAGAAATCAACTTCTCTCTCTTTGAGAAATCTCAAAAAAAATGTAATAAAAGTCCTACAGAAATAAAATTATAAACCCGAGTTTCACAAAAAAATTGAAAAATAAATACTGCATTTTGCGTTCATAATTTTGTCTTAATACTTTACTGTAGCAAATGTTGCACCAAAACAATGGTTAAAACAAAAAAAACAAGCACCCAAGCTTGCATTGCAGTAAATGGGAACAATTTTGAACATCTTGTATAAGTAATTGAACCGTTAACCTATTATTTTATTATCTCGATTTCTGTAAGACTTTTATTACATTTTTTTTTGGGAAATTAACTTCTCTCGTAACAGTGCAAATGTGGTTAAAATTTGTCGGATAAGTTGTGAAACACCCTGTATAAACAAAAGGAAATATAGATTTTTGCAAACTTACAAATAGTCTGGAATCGCCGGGCTTGAGGTTGTCGAAGTCCGGCGTGCCGGGCTGGGCGCCCGCGGCCCCCGCCGGCGGCGGCTTCTTGCCGAGCAGCTTCAACGGCGGCTGGTTGTTGTCGAAGCCGCCGAACGTTTCGGCGCGTTTGGGCAGCAACGGCGACACGTAGGTGTCGCTCTGGTGCTCGCCCGCCGAGCTGACGCTCCTCGACAGGTTCGTGCCCGTCGTGTACAGCGAGCTCGCCAGGTGGCTCACCTCCTGCAAACCAAACCCCAATCAAAACTCCCCGAAAAATTAGCCACTGTACTATAAAAGCTTCCAGTTGTACAGAACCTCGATCTAGCAGGTTTCAAAGGATGAAACGAGTATCTTCCGAGGGTTTCCTATTTCAGGAAGATCTGTAATTTTAAGTGACCGTGGAACTCGCGTCCAGTTGTACAGTGTCTCTTCCGAGGGTTCCCTCTATCAGGAAGATCTGTAATTTTAAGTGACCGTGGAACTCACCTGGACGGCCGTCAGGACTTCCTTCCACATCTGGTTGGTGTCGATGTTGTCGCGCACCAGGTGGCTGTAGGAGGGCGGCGACGGCGGTTCGAGGCCGGCGGCGGCCAGGAGGCGCAGTTGCAGGGACATTTTCTCTTCCAACAGCAGCGCCTGTTCGATGTCCTTCTGGCGCAATTGACCTACAAATCGGCTCGTTAGCGACGTCGAGGCGATGGGTGAATTTTGTGTTTTTTTGATAAAGAAACGTGGTATGAGAGAACATGCAAATGTTAACGTGAGAATTCCAAGTAGATTAAGAGAGTAGTTCAAAAGAATTAGGTATTGGCTAGTAATTTAGTTAAGTAAATTAGTATTTAACAATACATGCGCACTATCATGCTAATAATAGATATTTTCTCGTTAATAAATCGGTCTGCGATTTTTTTAAATACGAAATATTAATAATAAAATCATAGTGAGCTGTATAAAATAACAAATAACTCACCATAAGTATTAGTACAGCTTATTTTAATGTTTAACCCCAGATAATAGTGCTAATGTACCTATCAATAATTCACTACGTTGATATGGAAATTGTACTAGGTATTGAAAAATAAAACAGTACACGAAAAGAAATTCATTTGCATACCATATGAATAAAAATCTATAACTAATAAACGCAGATAACCCAGTAGAGTCATACATTATAAATTTGTAGATAAGTAAATAGTTTATTTGAAAGTATACGTTTTATACAAAAACTATTCTCTATACAAATAATCATTCCTTGATCATTACTATTTCTTTATATCACATAACGAACGCAACAAAAGAAGTAGGATAAACAAAGGAATGATTGCAACGCGTGCTACAAAATAAAGCTCTGTTTTGTGAATATTGCGGAAAATTTGAAAAACTTCCCCGCGATTTATCTTTAAAGAGGATTACCTACAAACTCGGGGACTCTAATCGGATTCTCCGTTCCAGCGAATTTCATTCCAAACACCAAAAATCTAACCAACTAATCTACCCGAATGGATTCCAAAAGAGAATTGCATAAAATCTAAAAGAGAGGAAAATGCATGCGATGATTTTTTTTACTGTTAGTTACCTTCGAGGTCCGAATCTGCTTCTGTAGGAAAACAGAGCAATACAAATAATATATTTACACTAACAGATCGGTATGAGAGAATTTGTCTTGTTAATAAAAAGTTAAGAAGTGAACGGAAACGGTCTACGGTTCTAAAAATCCGGCGGTAGAATCAAAATTATCGTTGCGATATGTATATGAAACACATGCCGTTCTCGATTCGATTATTTTGTACAAAAATCGCTTTAATTGACAATCGATCAGAATCGATTACTCACCGATTAATTGGCGTACTTGATTCTGCTTGGCGTTAATTAGAGTCTGCTTTTCCTCCGTACTCAAGGCTATATTGTCCTCTTCGTCCTCCGGGCACGATTGCACAGCCTCCCTGAAACCCAGAACAAAGTCTTATATTGCAGTTTGAATCTGTAAGATTGTGCGCATATACATTTGTTTTATTAATTTCCTCTTACCTTATTGCTTGTATCCAGATTTGCTTGTCTTTAGGTTTGTGCACTTTCAGTTCGAACATCTCGGGATCAGCAGGATCTGAAGAAATTAAATAAATCCCTCTGGAATCCTGGCCTGCTATTTCTCTCACTAGAAGTTTCTGAAGGGAAACTACGCCGGTCTATAACGAATTTACCCCACGTTAGGTTAAATTGTAGGTAAGTTGATGATAAGAAGAAGAAGTATAAAAAGAAATAATAACAATAACAACCAAAATGCAGCGACTACATTGAACGTAGGAATGAAAATAGAAGCGAAGAGTTTACTCACTTTACTTACTGGAGTGAAAAACGTGTATTTATGCGAATTTTCTTGCAAGAAAAACAAAACGTCCGACAGCACGATGACCAGGACCACCTGCATCTTCCCCCTGCCCTGCATCAGCATCGCCACCCCTTCGAATTTCAGCGACCGATTGCCCTGCAGGATGTCCGACTTCCTGAACTTCTGCCCCCTGTACACGGTGCTCGATTTCGCGTCGATCCTGTTGTAGATCTCCAGCTTCCTGTCCTCCTTCTCCTTTTCGGCCACCTGCGCGTCCACCTCCACCAGGATCTCCTTCACCAGCGCCAGCGCCCTCTGCAGCGCCTCCTGCTCCTGCTTGTTCTCCTTGCTCGTCTTGATCAGCGGCTCGATCAACAGCGGGTACTTCGTCAGGCGCTGCGTCACGAACAGTATGCACTCCGGTATGCCCTTCTTCTTCAGCAGCGGGTTCGTCTGGCAGTGCCTCACGAACTCGCCGAAACGCTGGTCGTTCTGCAGGTAGTACTTGTATATCTCCACGGCGTCGCGATGCCTGCTGCAAAACTCGCCTGGAACGCGCTCCAGGTTAGCCTGTTTACTCATTCACAAGGGCACTCACCGTAAGCCGATTTCAACTTGGCGGCGTGGCTGTTCGAGAAGGTTTCCAACAAAATGTCGGCTATGGAGGACACGATGGGATTCTCGCGCTGGCGTTGCCGCAGCCTCGCCAGGAAGCCCAAGTGCAACTCGGTGAGGTCCACCAATCTGGGAAACATCCTCTCCAAGTTCGGACCCAGCTGGAAGTACTTGTGCAAACCGTCCACGAATATCTGAAATAATTATATACTCAAAAATCTGTATCTGTATCTGTATCTGTATCTGTATCAGTATCAGTATCAGTATCAGTATCAGTATCAGTATCAGTATCAGTATCTGTATGGATTCTAGTACCTTCTGCATGACCAGGAGGGTCATGCAATGGTGCTTCTCGGTGAGGATGAACTCGTAGATGTGCTCCTGTCGCTTGACCTCCTTCTCCTTGAGTTTGCGGGAGATGTCCTTGCCCACGTAGGGGGACCAGGAGTCCGGTTCGGTCTCGTGCAGCCCCAAGGTGTAGTCGGAGCAGAGATCTACGGCCGTTAGGGGGGAGTCCGAGAGAAACTCCAAGGGAACGATCGGGACGTCGTCGGGATAGCTAAACGAGAATTCGTGTAGTTTTTTTTTGTGTGGGTTAGGTATCATTGGGGCGACTTACTTGGCGGAGTCGTGCTGCCCGTGGGAGTTGTCCTTGTCATCGTAAAGTATTTGGCTGAAAGGGTAACGTGGTATTTAAAGCGATCAGTTTGTAGTTGGTGACTGTAGGACCAGCCGAATGAGGCCCGGTAGAAGCGAAGGCCGAGTAAAGGTAAAACATCGAATAAATACGAGGAATTAACAGCGAAAACAACACGTATTCGACAATGTGATATTTACGGTTTGGGGGGGTATTTATTGTGAATGTGACTTGCGTTGAAAATAGAGGAAAAAAAACAGATAAAAATAAGCATGCGTGAGAGTGAAACAATAAACGAGTGCGGCAAAATAGCGCTACAACCAAAAACATCCATCGACTTAGCCACGAAAAAAAGTATAGCGAACAGACTAATTAGATTATACTTAAAAGTTTCGGCTCTACCCAGATGTAGCTGCGATTTGTTCAATCGACCCGTTTCGTACGAAACCGAATTTCCACACTCTACGAACCAATTAAAGCGAAACCGATCGAGGACACTCCATTTCTATACGAAACCGGCCGTTGATTCGAATCCGAGTAAATGAGCCGGATGACTGCGGATTACTGAAGAGTCAACAACAACATACGATGTTATAATACCGCTAAAAGTAAGAGACTAAAGTAGATGCGAGTATACCGGAAAAGTAGATGGTAGTTGGTGAGGTAAGTTAGAACTTACTTTACTCCCAGTTTAGTTGCGACCCTTCGCCACGGCGAATAGCACAGTTGGCTCCTCCTAAGCGGGAGGGACAGGGAAGAGGCAACGTATTAGGCACATAACCCATCAATTTATTACATTAACCGATTAACTTGCTATATTGTTAACAGACATCTATTTACACTGGACGTTTAAATTAATTTGAAGAGCGCCATCCACTCTCGTTACGTTCGTTAATTTTGATCAAACGAGACGTTTTATAGTTGTTGCGTTTAATAGTGCATAGTTACGAAGAGGTTCCTTTACTCAACCGATTTCACTCTTTAAACCCCTTCATAACTATTAAAAAATCGCACAATTTCTTTAATTATTTACAACGGTGCACCGGAATTCCCAACCAAAATAATAATCCCTTCTTAGGGTCGAACCTACTTTACTCATATCTAGAGTAGAGTAGAAATGAGAGAAGTAGAAAAAAGTAGGGTAGAGTAGAGTCAAGAAGAGTATAGTGTCAAATTGACTAGAATCTAGTAGAGTCTAGTAAAGCGGGGTCAAGTAAAGTAGTCAAGTAGAGTAGATTCAATTAGGGTAGAATCAAGTAGAGTAGAGTCAAGTAGGGTAGAATCAAGTAGAGTAGAGTCATGTAAAGTAGAGTCATGTAAAGTAGAGTCAAGTAGGGTAGAATCAAGTAGAGTGGAGTCGAGTAAATTCGGTGCGGAGTTCCGGTGCGCCGGTATGTACAATTAGAAATTTTTAGAGGAATTTTCTTTACGTTCGGGATAAGCACCTTCAAGCGTTTACGAGTCCGTTACGTTAACGTGTGAAACGTTAAAAATAATAAACGGAAAAACAGAATCTAAATTTCCTGGCGCAGCGAAACGTTTTAGGCGATCGTTAGTGCAAACTCTCGATGATCCCATAAACGTTTCGAAAACTAAAAATGTTCGTCAATAAAAGCTACGAAGCAAGCAACACAACATTTAATGAATATTAAGTCGAGCGTGGAGTGTGTGTTTATATAGGTGGGGTACATCGAGTTCGAAGTCGATAATAACGGTAATTATTATCGTAGAATAACAATAAAAGTATTGTTTTTAAATTAAATGTTATATTTGTGAAATATACAGCTTGTATTATAGTGGAAATTGCGCTATTTTCGAGTGAATCTTATAGTTTATACACAAATTATTTCAAACTTTAAATTAGAGTTTGTCTTTGAAGTTCAAGTTATATTTAATATTGTAATGATGAGTGATTTGTTGGTGTATCACAAGAAAATAGTTTCAAAACTTACCTGGTTTCTAGATAAAAAGTATAATACAAGAGTTAGAAAACAATACTTTAAATTATTCCAAATGCATTTAAATCAATCAATTTATTCGAAAATAGAATGTAAGCATGCTTAAAGTAATTATTTTATCATACAAAATTAAATGTTTATTATTTTATTTCGTCTACATTTTAATTACTAAGTAGAGAAGATGGAATAAATTCGATCACAATTAATTTTATTTTTTTTTTCTGTTTCGACTAATATCTACAAAACAAAAATAAAAAAATAGTTGCCATTTTTTTAATAAAAGAAAAATGAAACCTTATTGAAAAATCAAAAAAAAATGTCTACAGGGAGTAACCAAAAATACAATTTTTACACATTAAAAGGTTCGCAGGATCCAAAATACTCTATATAAAAGTATGGTTCATCTTCATCATTAATTACTTAAAAAATTATTAGAATAATCCCACAATTAATTATTTATTCAGAGATAAGTTTAATAATTTCGATTAAACTTAATGAAGATACCCACAAGTTCTACCACATGCCCCATATCGCCTAATCTACGAAAAATCTAAAACGATCCGATCCGAAAACGAAACACTACAAACCTTCTACACATACACAAAACTCAACGTTTCTACCCTCATTTCACCGTCTTCGAATTTACATAAAACCCGCATCGAATTCGGAATTCCCTTCGTCGCGTCGGGGAAACCCGCGCGTATCCACAACGAGACGTAAAACAAGAGGATTCTTACCTATTGGAGTTGTTCTGCGACGGCAGAGAGGCGGATCCGCGCTTCGAAATCGAGTTTTTCGCGTTCTGCAACGGCACCGCGAATCCCGACAATTTGCCAGCGCTCTGTAATAAAACAATTCGAATTACACGAGCGAATTAATTCGAGTCAATGCTCACCTTAACGTTTTTTATTTTAACGCACTCCTGAATGTTGTCCTTGCAGGTGTTTTGATGTACAGTCATGCCGCAGCCTAAAATGCAATTTGAGTTTCGTTGCGGCCAGACAAAGTTGTATTTTTACGGAGTTTAGCATGTTTTATTGACACTTACTTTCACAATAAAGAGCGGGTTTATTGCTTAACGATTTGGTGCAGAAATCACATGTATGGGAATTACCGTAGCTACCAGAGACCCACTGGTGCGGTAATTTCTTCGATTTGTCCTAAGAATTGAGCGAATTATTAGTCGATTGGTAGTTGAAATAGAATTAATACATTTACCTTCTTTTTTCGGAAAAACAAACTCCCCCGTTTCCTTCGTTTCTCGGAATGCCGGTCGTAAGAGACGCTGGAAATTCGATTACAGGTTAAAAGTGTACCATTACGCTGGCATTACCGCAATGAATTGGCATGATTTAGAACGCGTTGTTTATTTACAAAGTATTTTTAACGGTATAGAGAAGAAAAGAGTATCGTACAAAAGCTCTATCGTTTTTCGATCGAATTTTCCTTTGTGGCCCAAATGTTATTTTTTTCTGTCGAAGAACAAACAAAAATCGATTTGCGTCACAGTTTGATTCACGAACCCGTGATTGACTGATTCATCGAGATAAAAATAATATGTAAATACTACAAAACGGACATTGTGTACAAAAAACGATTAAACTTCGAAGAAACGGGAAAAATTTCGAAATATAATAAACTTCGTTTGCTAGAAAAACATGCAATATTTTAAAGTTTCAATCGCGCGGAAAATGGAAATTTCTGTTCAAATATCCACGAAATAACAACGCAACTAGGAAGTAATTGGATAATAAATTGACTTTTTCTCATCATTTGATTCACAACAAACAATCATTCCTTAATAGTTAATTCCTATTTCTTTTGGTCCTGTAACAAACCAATGCTAGCAAGTCACAAAAGAAGTAGGAACAACGGAATGATTTACTCAATTTCGCGCGTATTTCAAGAGGTAGTTGCAAAAAATACTTATATAAAAAAGAATATATGATACAAAAGTGATGGAAGTGCGAGTGATATATCGTAGGGCGAGTCAGCCGGGCATGCATCGGTGTACTTACTGGTGCAAAAGTGCAATCGAATGCGGATCGAAATGCGCGTGTCCCAATCGGCTACCTTCCTCTTCAGTTTCGCTCTCGGTCCCGCTCGGTCGGCCCCTAGACACCAAGCTAAGCACATGCACTACATTGTCTAGCTAAAACGTTTTTGCGCTCCTCTACCTACTTCTGTTTTTTTACCGAAATGTCGTCGAATAAACTCGCACCTGGACCTAAGTTAACGCGACACCTGCGCGAATTGTGATATATTTATACAGAACGACCCTTTCCTGGTTACATATTTACAAGCTGTTCGCTGTTGGAGTTACATAGGGGTGCAGTGTTACAGGTGCGCTGTTTCGAGCTCGTTAAAATCCACAGTAAATATCGAATTTCCTCCAAAAAAAAATGTTTTAAGAAACCGATACATTCCCAAATTGCGATGCGTAATTTGATCGGTTAAGGGCGAATTGATAATTATTAATTACGAATTTAACCCTAATCGATTTAAGCGACGACGGTAGAAACTAAACTCGTCCGAATAGTTAAGGGAAACTAAATTAGTCGATGATTAAATTACGATGGAAGTTCGCCTCGAAAACCATTACTGAATTTACTGTTCTTGTTTCCCTTATTAGGTGGAGAATATACGAGCACTCCACATCCTTGCATTGCGGTTAATCGAACAAAAGATTTCGCGAAAACAGAAGTAGGTACGGAATCGGCGCGGAATTCAATTCAATAATTATTATCGATATTATTTATTAATAGCCTATTATAATCGAATGAACCGGCCGCAATAAAATCGCTTCATTAATATCCAATAAAAACACGATCAAACGACGATATTGTTCGCATGCATTGAAAATGTGCGATGTAGTGGATAAAATCGAAAAAATTATTAAATTTTTAAGCGACAAAACTATATTAAAAGGCACTTACATGGGCAGAGTGGGCTGGGCGCCAGCCAGCACCGGCTCCGGCGCCAAATCTCTCACGGCTATTATCGACGGCGTCGAAATCGACTTTTGCAACGGCAACCTAGCCGGCAACAGCCGCTGTTCGGCCTCCCGTTTCGCCTTCAGCTTGTTGAAATCGTTCTAAAAACGAAACCCCAGCTCAATGGAACCCCAGCAAACAAATCGCACACATCGAACCAAGCATACTCGACCACCCTCAATCGCTCAAATTTGTCCCCGCAAATCGCACAAAATTACCTGCAAATCGGCCTCGTTTAGGGAGTGCGTGCTGGCCCCTCCGCCCGTTCCTCGGGATCCCCGATGCCTGATCACGACGGGAGCTTCGGGCCCCAACAGCCTCACGGTGCTCCCGTCCACGTTGTCCACCAAAGAGGATTCGTCCGCCTCGGACTCCATGCTGCTCAGCGATATGCTGAAATCGGATTTAGAGCGACTGTCAAACGATAACTGGGGGCTGTTCCGAGCAATCGATTTGTTCAGGCGCTATATTAGAGGAACTGGAACGGAAGGATCTTGGAATAAGGGAAGGGTGGTAATAGAGTAGAAAAAGTACTAGAGAAGAGAGGAAGGAAATGGAAGAAGAATGAAGCAAGATACACTGCAAGAATTGGAGTGGAGGGATCCAGGAGTAAAGGAAATTTGTGCATATGGGAAGGGTGGCAATGGAATAGAAAAAGTACTAGATTAGCTAGGCAGGAAATGAAAAATGAATGATGCAAGATAGAGTCTTTGATCGCAAGATTTCAACACAGAAAATGGAAGAAGAATAAGACAAGATACTATAATGGAACTGGAGTGGAGAGATCTAAGAGTAAGAGAGACTTTTGCATAAGGGAAGGATTGTAATAGAATAGAAAAAGTACTAGATTAGCTAGGCAGGAAATGAAAAATGAATGATGCAAGATAGAGTCTTTGATCGCAAGATTTCAACACAGAAAATGGAAGAAGTGTAAAGCAAGATAAAATAATGGAACTGAAGTGGAGAGATCTAAGAGTAAGAGAGACTTTTGCATAAGGGAAGGATTGTAATAGAATAGAAAAAGTACTAGATTAGCTAGGCAGGAAATGAAAAATGAATGATGCAAGATAGAGTCTTTGATCGCAAGATTTCAACACAGAAAATGGAAGAAGAATAAGACAAGATACTATAATGGAACTGGAGTGGAGAGATCTAAGAGTAAGAGAGACTTTTGCATAAGGGAAGGATTGTAATGGAATAGAAAAAGTACTAGATTAGCTAGGCAGGAAATGAAAAATGAATGATGCAAGATAGAGTCTTTGATCGCAACATTTCAATACAGAAAATGGAAGAAGAATAAGACAAGATACAATAATGGAACTGGAGTGGAGAGATCTAAGAGTAAGAGAGACTTTTGCATAAGCGAAGGATTGTAATGGAATAGAAAAAGTACTAGATTAGCTAGGCAGGAAATGAAAAATGAATGATGCAAGATAGAGTCTTTGATCGCAAGATTTCAACACAGAAAATGAAAGAAGAATAAAGCAAGATACAATAATGGAACTGGAGTGGAGAGATCTAAGAGTAAGAGAGACTTTTGCATAAGGGAAGGATTGTAATAGAATAGAAAAAGTACTAGATTAGCTAGGCAGGAAATGAAAAATGAATGATGCAAGATAGAGTCTTTGATCGCAAGATTTCAACACAGAAAATGGAAGAAGAATAAAGCAAGATACAATAATGGAACTGGAGTGGAGAGATCTAAGAGTAAGAGAGACTTTTGCATAAGGGAAGGATTGTAATAGAATAGAAAAAGTACTAGATTAGCTAGGCAGGAAATGAAAAATGAATGATGCAAGATAGAGTTTTTGATCGCAAGATTTGAACACAGAAAATGGAAGAAGTGTAAAGCAAGATACAATAATGGAACTGAAGTGGAGAGATCTAAGAGTAAGAGAGACTTTTGCATAAGGGAAGGATTGTAATAGAATAGAAAAAGTACTAGATTAGCTAGGCAGGAAATGAAAAATGAATGATGCAAGATAGAGTCTTTGATCGCAAGATTTCAACACAGAAAATGGAAGGAGAATAAAGCAAGATACAATAATGGAACTGGAGTGGAGAGATCTAAGAGTAAGAGAGACTTTTGCATAAGGGAAGGATTGCAATAGAATAGAAAAAGTATCAGAACAGCTAGGCAGGAAACGGAAGAAGAACGAAGCAATATGGCAGCCTTGTTATAGAACAAGCAGGACCTTAAAAAAGTGGTACATTGAATCAATTTGTAGCTTCCTCAATGTACTAATTTTTTAACGCCGTGTAGAATGAATAAACGTTCTAATAAGTACCTCCTTTGGCGCGTCTGTTTGATCTTGTCCTTGTTTCCGGTGAGATCCTCCAGAGCGGTCCATGATCGCCTTCTCTGCGGCTCCGGTTGGCACAACCAATCTTGAGCGGCTAAATCGGAACGAAATTTACCAATCTAATTAAATAATCTCGCGAGATTGCATCGAAGAGCCCGGAGGATTCGATGCGAATTTACGGCGGTTTTCGAGGCGATTGTTTCGCCGGCACAATCGCGGAACAGGAAGCGCGCGACGCGCCGAGAACTCGGTCAAAAATGCGATTAAATAATTAATTTGAATAAAGAGCAATGCAATCGAAGCGCGTCGAAGACGTGAGAAATTGCTTCCTTTTAAATTTGACCTGAAATTACAACGGCGGAGTCCTCGTTCGCTTCAACGAGGCCTCTTACGCGTTACGCATTGCGCTATATGTAAAATTTATTGGCTAATGGTATGCGAAAGAATGGAAAAATTTCTTACCGCTGCCTTTCCTGCTGGGCGGTTGGTGCAACGGCGATGATCCCAACGAGCCGCTGGCGGCGTCCAAATCGAGGTTCGCCTCGTTCAGGGCCGGACAGCTCGAGCTCAATCGCGCCACTTGGGCCAGAAATGGATTGAGCGCGAAGGCAGCGAAGTCCCTCGAGTGCGACCCGTATGAACCTTGGAAAGGACATGGCTGGATTAGACATTAGAAACGGTCGCAATTTTTTCCTTTATTTATTTTTTGTAGGGAGGAAATTCGAGGATGGTTGTTGGTTGTTTTTTTTCGTTAATTTCCGCGGAGTTCGTGAAAGCGCGCACATGTTGCTCGGTGTATCGGGGTCGTAAATAAATCGTAAAAACGAATCGGAATCGTAAATTTTCCGCGATCTAAACCGTCAACCAAACGACCGCGATTAATGGGAAATTGAAAGGAAAATTCGAATTTTTCGCTCGTTCGCAACGGCACAAAATTGATGTTAACCAGTATACACTCCGTAAATTCGTCTAATCTGCTCTATATATTTTTTTAATTCCGTTTAATTACATTAAAGAAATCGAAAATTCTCAAACGAAAAACGAAGCAGTTGCTCAAAAAATGCTTCTAGAAAATTAAAAACTCTGTAACGAAAAATAAATTCAAAAAAACACTCATAATAATATACATAACAACATACACAAACATCATAATGCAATTATTAATTAATAATTAATTAATAATTAATTAATAATTGCATTATACGTGAAGAAATTGGACTGATGCGTCCGATGGAACATAAACAAAAACTGCCAAAATTGACATTAATGACATGTATGACAGAGGTTTAAATAAATGCAACGAAAAATAAATTCAAAAAAACACTCATAATAATATACATAACAACATACACAAACATTATAATGCAATTATTAATTATTAATTGCATTATACGTGAAGAAATTGGACTGATGCGTTCGATGGAACATAAACAAAAACTGCCGAAATTGACATTAATGACATGTATGACAGAAGTTTAATAGAGGTGACAATCGATTTCACAATCTAGAGGTGGCGTAACGACTGTTACAAAATAACCGTTCCTCAAGATAATTTCCTCGACACATTCGCACCAATCTCGCCCCCTCGAAACCCCCGAACCTCGCAACCCATCCATCAACATCCCAACCCGGCAACGCTCGCAGTAAAACAGTTCTTCCTTCTTTCGCGTTCTACTCACCCTGCACGGAGACGTTCCGCATGTGCTGCACGCTCTCGTGGAGCTCCCGCACCTGTTGCAAGGTGTCCTCGAGCACGGGATAGGTCTTGTTGGCGGGCGAGTGCGGCGTCACGCTGATGGTGGGCAGCGGACCGCCGGCGCCCGGCCGGGGCAGCATCTCCACCGCCGGAATGTGATAGTCGGTGATGACGTCCTCGTCACTGTCGGCCTCGCCTCCGCTCTGGCCACATTCATCTGCAAACCCATTACTGTTATTATTCGATCTATTAATCGCAGAGGTGCTAGATGAACTGTATAAAGTTGTTACTGCGCGATTAAATGTTCGTTAAAATGGCGGAGTTTTGTAACAGGCGAGGGTCACGTCGTATATAGTCTATTAAATATACAAACAGCAGATACTGCTTCTGCTAATTGACAGGGAATAATTAATCGGATCGGGCTAGGCGTATTACGCGCGCTGTAAATCACGTCGGGCCCCGAAATAAACGCCATCAGGGATTCCCGGTTTCCCAATGGAGAGCAGGTTTGGCCGTAATTTCGAGGTGAGGTTGTTAAAACGAAGCGGCGTATTTCCATTTTGGCGCTGTCGAAATTCGATGGGCGCGGAGTCGGGTCGAAATTTTTTGTCGATTCCGCAAAATCGAACCCGGCGCGGAATTTGCGGCGTTTGATCTTCGGCGGGAATCGCTTCCTCGCCGCTTTACAGCGGGGTTCGAGGCCGGCTAATTAAAATTTGGGCCCGCTTCGATCGATCCGCCGCGAGATGAACGGATGTAAATTGGGCGCAAAAGGGATTATGGATTTTAATCGTATAGGAAAATTAGGCGCAAAATGTCACGGGAAAATAAATTACTATTTATTTTGTACTAGAGTAGATAAGAGAACATAACCAAAAAACGCCAAAATTGACATTAATGACATGTATGACAGATGTTTAATAGAGGTGGGAATATATTTCATAATATAGAGGTGGCGTAACGACTGTTACAAAATAACCGTTATATTTCCAATCTTTTTCTCCTGATTGCTCTTTTCTCCCTTCTTTTCTACTTAACTCTACCCTAAAGTGTAAATTTGTTCATTGCACTGCTTTTTACAACTTAAAAAACTTTAAAGCTTTTTTACCGCCGCCGTACGAGAAATCGAATTTTCAACATTTAGTAGAAGTTATTGAACAATGCACAGTAAGAGTTACATTTACGGCTTTTCCGATGTGTCTGAGATCGTTGGAGCTTTAGAGAAGCGAATTGAATTGCATGTAAACTTTTATTCGAAGCGACGGCGACCCCGAGGGGCCCGGGGTTTTCCTCGTGGCGGCGGCGGAAGGAGGAAAATCGTAAAAGTAAGATACGCCGGAAAAAAGCTGCGGAAAAGCGGCCGGGAAATGCCGCTTGTTCGCGGTGAATGATTGACGAAGATGCGCCGGTGTGTCGAGCCGTTTCCTTCGCGTTTTACGATCGGAATTTGTTATTATTTTCGCGTGTTACATGTAAAGTAGCTGTATGTCGGCTGTGTAGGGCTGTTTTCATGCATTTTTAATAACGTTTTCCCAGCGAGGAGCCCTTTTTTACGGGCCTGTATTTCAGGAAACACTACATAAAGATGATTGTGGTTTGGAATTTTATTCATGATCTTCATGCTAAATTTTATACCGTATATTATGGTTGAGTATACACCAAAAAAAGTTAGGTTGAGTAGACATATCCAAATACTGTCAAATATATCAATGTCAATTCGCTTCTTGACGTATAGTATAAAGGTGGGAACAAAATAACGAGTATAGAGATGCAGTAACTGGCGTTACAATTTAACTGTTACTTTATAGTACTTAATAATTACGTCAAATATAAAATTTCATCAAGAAAATTTGCGAAATTTTCCTTTATAACGAGATAAAATCGTATTTCTACTCGTACGCAATTTCCTTGCGATTGAATCGAAATTTCCAATACGAGCCTATTGTTTCTCCCTTCTAACGAGACGACATCCGTTCAATTCGAATTCGAATCCACTTTTATCTCGGAACACAAATCTGATCGTTTCGTAACAATCACTCATCTCGATCCTGCTGGATATCTCGAAGGAAAGAGTTGAATTTATATCCAAACTCCTACTTACATACTGCAGTAGGTATCTTATATCTTTCCAAATGGTAAACAAGATAAAATCCATGTTGAGTTTCGGATTATTTACGTATATTTTCAGCCATTATATTCAAATGGCCTCTTGCTAATTAAATGAAACACATCCGGATGCACATTTTCACAAGCATTCTGTTATAAAACAGTTAAATTACAGTTGCTTTACGACCGATCGTCGAGCCATTGTTTCACTTCGCAGGGAAGTTCCCAAACCGCTTTTTTTTTCAACATTTATAACCCACTTGGGTATACGCTGGTTTATTAGGTCAACGTAGAATTATACCGACGAATAAATCTGTTATAAAAATAAACTTTGTTACAGCGAATTTATTTGTTGTTAATCGGTTATTACGTGCTCTAAAAATCAGCGCGATAAACAGAATTTCCATCACCTCTTCTGCGGCTTGTTACTCGGCGAACAACGGAATAAAAAATTCGCTCGCGAACCTTAAATAAAAACCGTCGAGAGGTGTTCTTCGCTGGAAGGGCCCTCGTCCTGCCAATTAAACCGGCTCGTTATGCTTCGGTCGTTTACCACTCGGGAAATTAGCGAATAAATTAAGCGAGGGAAATTTTTCCCGGCCGAAATTCAATCTTAAGAGAAAAGAGCCCGAAGCGGAAAAGCAAATAAAATTGCGCATTAGTGACCCAAGTATTGAACTCTAAACAGCTTGTACAATGACGCATTCTTCTCCGTCCATAAATCACAATAACGAGACGCTTTATTTCCTCTGCGAAATTCATTAGCGCTAACTTTTTTAATTAAGAAATAAATCATTTACCTTCGAGCAGACAAGATAATCCCATGATGGAAAATAGCAGGACCTTGATCCTAGAGCACAAGTTGCATCCTTCTGTATGGACGGGAAGCAAACTCATCCCCCATCGAGCATTGTTTAAAGGATTCGCATCGATTTTCTTTTCAAACGGCTTAGGAGGACGGAGCCAATTAATTGGTTTTAATGAGCGTATTCCGAAGGCATCAAAGTCTTTCGCGATGAAACGAACGGATGCACAATGGGACGATTTAATTGAACGGAGGGAATCGAGAGAACTCTATTTAACCATCAAGCCGATTTGTTCGATACAATAAAACAATAAACGGCGCATCAGAGAAATTAGGTGAAAAATTGTATTTCGCTGTACGCAGAGTTTAAAAATAATTATCAACTAATTCATTAGGTACACTTCACTTGCACTTTTTCTCGGTTCACATCGATCGGTGTCGACGACGTGGAAAGCGCTACTCGTACGGTTCCAGAACGTTTTATTTTTTTTATTTTTAATAAACCCCGACCGCTTAATTATCGTAATGGCTCCGTTAACTGCAATTATTGCATCTCTAATGAACGCGTTTAAAAGTTTTTAGAAGCTAATAAGGCCAAACGTTAGTCGGTAAATTGGTAACGAAAATATAACATACAAGGTGTTTCGCTATTCCGTAGGCGGAAGAACTCGATCGATGAACTGATGCCTTGTATGCGGTTCATTTTATGGTATACAGGGTGTAAAATAACTTTATATGTAATCGGAATGAGGTTGGAGTCTCTTGAGTACCTAAATTTAACCTCTAATAAGGCGGAAGGGAGAGTGTATTTTACAGAAAAGTATGTTTATCACAGAAATTATCGTTTATCGATGTATTTTCCCTGATGTAGAACGATTGAAACACTCTGTATATACCCTCTACAGGCGAAATGATTAATCTTGCAAAGTTCTGCATTGTTGTAGAAAGTAGGAGGGAATTCTAAAGATGCAGAAGTCTCTAGAGTAATTCAACCCCTATATAAGGCAAAACGTGGATGTATACTTTACACAAAAATCCTCACTTTATATTAGGTTATTTTTAACAATTTCTATCACAAAAATTATAAGTAATTCAACCGCAATAAGAAGGCAAAATAGGGAGTATAGTTTACACAAAAATCCTCACTTTAAACATGAATATTTCAGCAATTTTTATCTCAGAAATTGCACCAACTATTGGTAATTTACAAACACTCTGTATAGGCGAATTGGCAACAAACGTTCGTGCGAAAAATAACCGATAACATCCGATGCGAGCCTGTTGGTTTAGACCGAAATTATCCGATTGGATGCCGCTCGAATTTTCCGCGACGGAAACGCTCTGGCTCGACGGGCCGGAAAATCGGCCGGAATGACCGGAGGTCTTTCGACGGAAAAAACCAGCAAACTGATGCACTCTCGCCGGAGAGCCGTTCGAATCTTAGCCACTCTCGGATTCACATCGTTTCACACTGGCTGGCGCGGCGGAAAAAATATATCTATTGTTCTTCGCGCATTTTTTAATAACAGGTCGCGGGCCGCGTTGTGAAACCGAGAAGTTCGCCTCTTCGGCGCGATTTTGATGATGGAAATCGAACAAAGGCGAGCCCGCGATCGCCGGGAATGAGGTGAACTGATTCTCGAACTCGTCGCCGATTTGCCTAGTAATTTTCGCTCGGACAGGATGTTGCGGACGCCGTGCGGAAACCTCCAAAGTGCGATATTCAGATTACTTTTCTCCATTTTCGGGATATTCTTGTTTGAACAACTTTGTATTTTATAACATATACCGTTAAAATTTCTACAAAAAAAATTTTTACTCAATATCTGAGTATACCTCTTAAAAGCTTATTAAATACAGTAGTTTTTACTAAAAAAAAACTTATGAATTTTATAAAATTGTTGGCTTTACGACCATTAAAAGATACATATAATTTTGTTCATTTCATATTCATAACAATTAAATCTTTTATAACACCCGGTATTGATTTTTTTTAACTCTGATAAATACTTTTTTTATAGCAAATTTAATGCACTTTTACGGTATATGATCAAAATTAATGTGACTATACGAATAAATGTGATATTTTGGCCTTTTTGGAAAAAACCAAAAAAAAATTTAAAATAATGAAATGTTAAATAAAAGAGAAACTATCGACTTTTCAAAAAAGTGTTATAGGACATTTTTTGTTCAAAATTACTTGTATAATCACCTCCTGAAGTTTGGCGGTTTTTATAGTAGACACCCTGTATAACAATCACGTTTACAAAAAAAAAATTATGACATATTGTACCTATCTTCAATCTTCCATTTTTGATCATATTTTGGAAGATTTTTGCATCCTAAATTCACGTATAAATTCTGCACATTGTAGACAAATTAAATTTAACTCATCACGACTAATTGAATTGATTTTCCAATTACGCCAACTATTAATGCATTGGGATTTCATTCGGGGAGAATCTGGCTGGCTTTCGGACTTCCGATTCGCGTAATTCAAATAATCCGAAACCTTTCATATATTCAGCTATTCAGCTTCGTTGAAATAATGGAATAGAATCCGATCCGGACGAGGTAATGCTCTTCCCTTGTTCCCGACTACAGCCATCTTCCGAAGATGAAACGATATTAGGGAAATAATGAAACCGGATTCGGTTCTAACGAACGCATTTACCGGCGTGTATGAAAAAGTTTACACGGTTTCCCGAGCGGAGGGTTTCCGTTTCTTCCCGGCGATTCGCCGGGAAGACTGGGAAGTTTTTAAACGGGGAGAATGGAAAAAAATCGTAACGCAATCACCGTCGGATAGGGGATTTGTTTCCAAGATTTCGAAACTAATTTCGCCTGCGAAAAATCCGCTTTCGCAAAACTTGTTACAAGCCGAAACGAAACGGAGCTTTTCCAGGTAAAAATTTAGCATATGCCGGTTGATTAAGTTCGCTATCAAAGTTGTATTAGCTAAGGAAATGTTCTAGGAACAAATGGAAGTTTTTTTGGGCGAAATTCTTGACAAAAAATATCCAAAATTTTCAAACAATCCATAACAGTTTCATCTACAATCGACATCAATATAACAAAGTTTCTGTTTATTACGAATCATCAGAGATCCCGCAACGAATTAAAAAAATAAACAACTTATTAAAACATTGATTATCTACATATAGAATGTTTTAATAAAGCACTTCCTGTTCTCGATAATTCACCGACAATGCCGATTTACATTAAACGCAAGAAAACCATTTATCGGAGCGTGGCCTCCCACTAGCCGTCGAATGCAAAAGACGCTGCTCTCTCGAAACGAGCCCATCGAACCCAGAACACGCTTTAATAGATCCTTTTGCTCGGCTTTCAGATAGCTTCGTCCGCATTAACGCCCACCGACGTCCTCCATCCCGCCTTTCGCTTTCCACCCTTCGCGCTCGTTCAACGGCTAATTGGCGTATTTTAGGAGGCGACTAATTTTCAATCTATCGCCCGAAACCCCCCTCGGAAATCGGCGATTTTCGATTCACTAACGCGCGATGACTTTCTAGTCAAAAGTTCAAGTTTTCCGTTTGCCTATCCTGCATTTCTTACCTATACACTAATTCCAAAATAGTAGGCACTAAATTCTCAGAAATGATTGCGATAATGGGTCTCTCCCAGTGGCGTACGGAAAATATCGTAGGCTACAAGTGTGTTTGACGGGAAAATCAGCAGATAATAATTAGAAGAGCAAGGATTATGTAATAAATAAGAAAAGCGACAATATTTCCAAGAATTTAGTGCCTACTATTTTGGAAATAGAGTATAGTCAAGGTCATGTCGATGTCATATGTCATGTTAGTACCGATTCCAACCAGAAGGGGGAGCTTTTTGGGTCATAGACACCTTGCATTGGCGTGAACCATCTAGAGAGTTGTATGATCTGTGGTTCATACTCGGCCAATTTGCTGATTTGAATAATTACGATCGGCCCACGCGCTGGTACTGGTCTAGTACTAGCCGCGTAACCGTTTGTTTTTTTTTCTTTTGGAATCTACTGTTAGCCCGTTCCTCTCGGGTACTAGTGCTAGTTCTAGCGAGCGCGTCGATCGTCGCCGTAACCGCGAAGTGAAATCGCGCATAGCTGGCATTCTTTCGCATTGTGTACTCGGCGAATTGAATGGGAAAAAAATCCAAAATGCGATTATTAAAATCGGACGGATTGCCGGCGAACGAGATCCGAGTCGTTCGCGTTGCGAACGTTAACGGTGCCGGGCTCGTAATCAGAATGATAACAGTATAGCGTCATGTCCTAGATCTGTGCATGGCGCGAAGAGGTTTTCCTCGGGTTTGTTTGCTCGAATGTTTACGATGGATTCGCGTAATTTGCGGTTTTGGATTGTTCAAAGACCATCATTTGAGCTATAATCTTGTTAAAGACCATATAATTTCAGAAAGTAGTTAAAATAGAAAAAAAGTTCATACATTCTAAAGCAGGAAAGCAGGTATCCTGATTGAATGCTTATAGGCAATAATGCTTAAATATGTGGTCCACAGTTAATAGATCTATGGTCTACGATTTGTGCATCTATGGTCCATGGTTCATATAGATAAAGGGTTCTCATGATGTCTATGGTCCAAAGATTTATAGATCTATGGTCCATGGATCATAGAACTAGATTCTAAAGCAGGAAAGGTATCCTCATTGAATGCTTATAGACAATTATAGGATGGTCCATAGGTCCTATGTTAATGGTCTATAGATCTATAGTCCTTAAATATATGGTCCACAGTTATTAGATCTATTGTCCTTATGTCTATGGTCCACGATTTGTGCATCTATGGTCCATGGTTCATAGATAAAGGGTTCTTATGATGTCTATGGTGCAATGATTTATATGATCTATGGCCCATGAATCATAGAACTATGGTCCTTAAGTCTATGGACCATGATCCATGATTCAACATACTTATCCACTCAATATACCATTCTTTGAAAGAACCTAGACCCTTTTAAAGTTGTTGAATTATACAGTTTTAAGAAATAAACACTGGCATGTTTTGAGTCAAAATTTAATGGATTTCTAAAAAACCGATCTATTTATAAAGATCATTTTATATCGTGCGTAACGGTTTTGTAGTGGGTGATGTCTTAAAGTCGCTCTCATAACAATCGCTAATTGAAATTCGTCGGTAACAATAAGCGCTAAAAATAGCGTTTTTGTAATAAAAAAATCGATTAGATCGGGAATTTTTCGCCGGCGCCCTCGACTGGAAATTCCGCCCGGAAAATCGCGTTGGAGCTTCCTCCGCGGCCGTTATGAGGCGAAGTTGGAGCTCTGATGCTTTTTAAAAATGAACAGCGATTAAACGCTCATATCGCTGTGATCTCGGAAGGAAAAGACTTTTTCGGTGCTTTTGCGATAAATATGCAAAGTGGGTAATTCAGAAACTGCTATTATCCAGGAATAGGCGCAATTTTATAAAAGAGACAAAATGTAATGGGTTGTTTAGTATGCAAGGTATTCACAATTAATTTTGTGTACAAGCATCAGAGACGGGCCTGTCGTGTTTACACTAATTGGATTCAGTGAAATTTTCCAGGGAAACCGACAAAATTACGGGAATTTTA